TTGTTGTTGTTGTTGTTGTTGTTGTTGTTGTTGTTGTTGTTGTTGTTGTTGTTGTTGTTGTTGTTGTTGTTGTTGTTGTTGTTGTTGATGGCAATATATTGAAAAAACTGCTTTTTCTTTTAGTAAACCACCATCAGGTACGTATCCCTTTTATTGTACTCATAACCGATTCCAGATTCGTCCCACACATTTTCCTTCTTTCCTCGTAGTACCAGGTACTTAGTGTTCACCTCATGATTCAAAATTGAAACCGTCGGAAGTTAGTGGAGGCCGTGAGTGTTACGTACTGTTAGGTGGTATAAGTACAGTACTGCTACCAAGCTCTGTACGCTGCATATGTGCCGGTACTGTTATGTTGTATTACTATTCGTACTCGTTCTTGTACCGTATTCAGTAGAAGTAGAAGCAATATTTTTACACTATGGTACTGTACGATACCAGTTTAAGCGTACCCAATTTACGTACTGCAGTACTGTACGTTCGGACAGCTGCGTCGATTGTGATAGCCTTCTGCCAGGGAGCCGGAGAGTCTTCGACGCCTCATTAGGCTCCAACATGTTTTCACTTTAGGCCATTTCCGTCATGGCAGATTTGACCCCACAATTTCTTTCAAAACCAAACTAACCGCAATAGCCACACCATTCCGCCCTTCCTGTCTCTTTTTAAATTTTCAGACGTTCTAAAACTTTTGAATCGAGCCTGTGATTCCGATTACGGCGGGACCAAATGAACCTAAGGTAAGACAAGAAGTTGAACTGCTCACTAAACAATGAAATCATCGATATTAAAATATCATCCATCATCTTCCTCGTAACCATCCAACTCATTATGGATCCATCATCAAACCTAGAGAGTAGACTGATATTGTATCTTTTCTTCTCTCTTGCAGCTGATGATATGAATTGATGGTCTCACATTTTTTCAGTTCCTAATTTGAAAATATCATAGATCTGGCACTCATCATAGCAACAGTATCGACCACCACAATGTCGTCGAAACTGGGGAGAAAAGGTAGGCTCAGTCAGCGCTTACTTGATAGTTGCGGAAAGAAATGATAGTCGTCGCAGCTTTGTGACTACTACGTACTAAACATACCTATTTCCCTCTCCGAAATAATTTCAGGTGATCCTAGAATGCACAGGGCAGTTGCTGCTAGAATGGCGAACCCAAACTTGTCTCTTTACGAAGCTCTGTGCATAGGAGGATTCGATTACTCCGAGAACGATGATAAATCGGTTCTTGACTCGAAACAGGTAACTCTTGGCCAAAGGAAAAATCAATTGTCGAGGCGTCTGAGACTGGCCCGTAAGTCAAATTCCGGAGGAGGTAAGAATCCTCCCCGTAGTCCTTCTGCCGTTGGAAATAATGGGGGAGCAACGAGCACCAGTACGACCGAAAATCGCAACATAACAAACATAGTCTCGTCGAAAGAACCACAACCTCGGGAAAATAATGCATTCAGCAAGGCGAAGGACCACCACTCCACCATCTACAGACAGAAAGTTGACTTCAAGAATGAATTGGCTACAGGAAGCTTTAATGGCAACAATAAAAGTATAGGTATCGGTGATGCTGTTGGAGATCATCAAGCGAAACGGACGCGTTTCACTTGCCCGCCGGCTCCTGTCACACAACCAAAGCTCAATTGGAATCATTCGTTGCATCAAGGTTGGATGTATGTTACTGACCCCTACATGAACTCACAGGTCACAACCAGTCAATCTGTATCACAGTACCAACCAGGAGCTTCGGCGGTCGCATTATCGTCGTTAACATCAACAGCACAGGCAGTGGGACTAACACTCGAGCAGCTCGCGTTGACACTAAGCTCGAACACCACTAGCCTTACCAAATTAGTAGCAGAAGCTAGAAGTGGTGAATCCGAAACCAAACAAGAGCTGATGGCGCTCAATCTCTATCAAAATGACATTAAGCCACTCTACACAAAATGTTTGCTAGTTGCCGGAGTCGATGCCAGTCTGGCCGAACAAAACACGCCAACCTACGTCAAATTTGCTACCAAGGCCTGGGAATTTGAGGGGGAAAGACTTCAGACTTTGCGAAATGCCATGAACATCGGAAAAGAAACGAAGCACACAGTAGCATTTGCTGAGTCCAGTTTCCAGCAAAATTACACGAAATCTTCAAGTCGAACACCAACCACAACCAATAGCAAAGCAAACAAAGACAATAGCAACAACGACAACAATACCATTACAAGTTCAGATTGGAATAGCACCAACCGAATTGAATGTAACCAAGACAACTGTCAAGCCGACAAAGAACATAATCAACACAGTCACGAACACGAACACAGCCATACTACAACGAAGAATGCGAATAATGATTCGGACAGACACGATAGCTCGGAATGCGAATCTCGTCATTTTCATCGAGTTGGGGAGTGTGGACACAAAGCAGTTATCCACAAACCCAAGGATGGTCCTCCACACATAGATTTTATCGTTAATGACCAGATTGAGTGTTACCAAGGGCAAGACTCAATGTCGTTGGCAGGAACTTCGTTAGCGGGTCGGAGTGAGAAAAGTCTTGACTCTTACTGGCCCAGCAAGCTCAAATGCAAGGAGGTTGACGAAGCCGGCCCCAAATCATGTGCAAAAAGCGTCGGTGCTCAATTCGACAGTAACTGGGGACACTTAGAGCCCCTTGTACAAGAACCGAAAACATTTAAGCTGTCAGAGATTAGTGCACAAGACCCAGAATGGACATTCGATGCAACTGATGGTGCTGGTATAGATAATGTTGCAATGGGACTCTTTGAATTAGGCAGGGAGGTTTCTTCTGACGTTGCTAACTGCTAGGGCAGACAAGCCGCTCGTAAAGCTAAATGTACATGTATATATAGAGAGATTATAGAAACTTTGGAATGATTCTTGCGACACTTTGTAGTATCCTGCAATGTATATAAAACGTTTCCAATGCATTTCAAAATGCTTCGCCTTCCTGTAGTCCGCTGACATCGGTTTCTTCGACAATGTCCTCACTAAAGTTGTTATCTCCCCCTACAGACAAACCCTCCTTCTGCAATAATTCCCTAGCTTTTAAAAACCATTCGTCTGCTGCAAGTTCGGTAGCTAACTCTTTGACCTCTGCCGAATCGACGTACGAAGCCAGATCAAATAAGGCCTGTTCCAAACGGTTCTTGCTATCTGGTATCATCATGTGACTTTCTCCCAGAACCTCTTCGAATTTCTTGATATCATAGGGATTTTTGTTCTGTTCTTTCATTTCGTTCAATTTTGACTCATTTTCGACAACCTCTTGTTGATAATATTTGACTTCTTTTGACAGACTTCAAGAAGCGAGCAAAGGTAGACCACAGGGCAAAAACCAATAGAAGGGTGAGATAGAGCGCGAGTGGGAGAGCGACGCCGCACTTTGAAAATGTGTTTTAAGTTTAAATAGGAATGTGACCATTGCCGATGCGGCAACTATTCGCTTGCCGCCAATGCATAAGATTGCGTAGCCTCCCACCACCAATGCGACCTCTTGGTTTTAACGCACGCATCAGTTTTTGTCTCACACACGATTGGCAGCAACCTCAACATCCCAGACAAAATCAGTTCCTCACCGTTGACAAGCCTTGGTTTTGATCATAAGCTGCCGCTGAGGCGGTGGGGGTGTCTTGCTCTTCATTCTTGCCAAACTATTTTGAATGCAGCATAACAAGGTAAGAAAAGAAAAGATGCTCTTGTGTTTTTCCTTCGAGGAAGCACCTCCGAAACTTGCTTCAGTAACGGCCATGATTGAGCGAGTCGTGAGTCAGTCGAGTCATGAATTCATGTAAAAATGACCGACATCGCGCGTAACAAGCACAAAAAACGCGCGACATCTTGAGAATAATAGTGAATGGAGAATGACAAAATCGATGTTTTCCTCCTCAGGTCTTCTTTTCAGGTTTTTCATTCACACATCGTCCATGATGATTACGTCGTTGCGTTCTCCAATCCCACGAAAGCAAAACAAGCCGAGTAAAGACAACGTATTACAAAGCAATGCTTCACTTTCGACTGAATCTCAATGGATCAATAGACGAGAAGCTGTATATTCGCTGGATGTACTTAGTGATCGGTCATGACGAAACAACACAACCGTGCTCTCAAATCAATCGACAGGAACTCCCTCCCGAAACTTCTAGATATTCTAGAGGTTCCAAAGGCAAAAGGGCCAAAAGCATTGGTGTTGGCAAAGCCTAGGACAACGTTGAAACATAAATCAAACAAAAACGACCATCATGGACTTATCTCAAGCATTTACTCGGGACGGGATAGACAACGAGACACAGTCCTAGGGTATTCCAAGACCCCAAAGATTAGTAATCGGGGTCGGAACAGAAATGTAACGACGAGGAGAAGCCGCGGTGATCCATATAGTAGACCTCCAAAACCAAACAAAGCAAGACCAAACAACTATCCAATCGCAGAGCAGAGGAAGAGAACAAGTTTGGATAGCAGTATCCTACAAACACAGTTTTCGATACAGAACACAAGACGCTACCGTCGAGAATCTCTGATTGACAGAATGAAGAAGTCAACAACGTCCACGACAAGAAATGGTAGCAGCCCTAGCACATTGCAGCAAGATGGAAATCGGCATATGCCCACTGTTCCTCGGCTCGGGAATCAAAGCCTCAAGTATGATAATGAACATAAGTTGCGAGAACAAGACGAAGAAAGAAAACGACGTTCCGCGTCTCTACTTTTTCGAGACAACAAAGTCAGAGGCAACGCAAGCCAAAGAGACACAATCAATGGCATTTGTAGAAGTGTCCCGAATAGTACTAAATCGGAACCAATATTTCTCTCCACACAGGAACACGTAGTCCCTGCTGGATTGGATCAGAAAAAGGTATTAGGAAAGAATGCTGTAGACCTCAAAAGTACCGATAGTATCAAGACTCAGAAATACAACAACAGCAGTGGAGGCAGCGACAGCAATGACGACATGGATTGCGATTCCGCCGAAAGCTATTCCTTCGATTCATCATCGTCCTCATTATCTCACAAGAAAGAATCTTTCCAGAATCAGGGAACCGAAACACCCACGACCTGTAGCAAGGATCAACCCGCACACCAAGTGGGACAGGAACTGGAAGTCACACAGAGACATTATTCCCCCAATGCCATCCCAACGATACATGCAGATCAACTTGGTTCTCGTAAATCAATTGTTTGCCAATCAACATTCGCAACCGAGAAGACAATTCTAGAGAAAATCAGGGATACGACAACATCTGCTACAGTTAGCAGTCCTCCCATCGAAGACCCCAATGTATTCAACCTTCTTATGAAGAGCAAAAGGAACAATGAGATGGATGATGAACTATTGGGATCTACGATAGGAGACGGTCAATTTATCCTGAACTGCCTCGACGACAATAGTGACATCAGTGCCTCATCATCTCTTCGCGGTCGTATAATATCTGTGAAGTCACCTTCCGAGAACCAACGTGATTCGCGGAAGGCATTCAAGACACAAGATGTTAGTGCGTCAAAAAATAATATTTCGTCCATAGGATCGCTGTCAGCCATTAAGAAGGACCAAAATAATCATACACAGGCAGACATGAAGCATAAGGACCGTCATCAACAGCCAGCAGAGAAGAAGCCGCAAGAAGAAGAAGAAGAGAGTGTCGAAGCGTGGTCGATTCAAGGCCAAAAGACCTCCCCATTTTTTTTTAAGATCGACGGGAAGAGATACGGTCACCCCACATTACCTCCTGGGTGGACTCTGAGAATCTCTCAAAGCTTAAAACAACCCGTGTACTCCCACCCAGATCATGGATGTACTTGGCACTGCCCCATCAAACTTACTCCTAATATGGTTTACATCAAGAGAAGCGACGGCAAAATTATCAAGCAAACCAAGAGTAGCAGTGAGGTGGATAGGACAGAAACTTCTTTGAAAGATTTGGATCAGGAAAACCCACCCGAACATGATGTTCTCAAGTTGTCAAGAACAACGCGCGATGCCCTTCGGGCTGCTCGAACTCCTCCGTCTACAAGAGAGTTGCCTTCCCGGAGGATGGAGAGCATACAATCTGCTTTGCTCTCGGAAGAGAGAACTGTGTCCCATTTTTCGTCGCCAGAGAATGAAAATGACAGCGTCTCAGAAGAAAGTGATTCAACTTTTGGTTTAATGCAAGAAATCTCACAATTATCTGTTGGGTTGATGAAGAATTCCTCTTCGAATCTACAAAAAGTCCGAGAGGTGAAAATGTTACACCAAGATATAAGGAAAGAGCAAGATTGTGGAACGAACCTGAGTCAACAGCGACAAGAGCAGGGGCAAGAACAACCATTACAGTCTGATAACGAGGACACGGAAGTCGATACCTCGTCCACTGTGTCCATCATACTCGAACAAAGCAAACAGACGAATGAATTGGAAGCAGGAGAAACATTTTCCATTGTAGCAAAACTAGATTTTGACAGGGGACGAACACCATTTCATCCAAAACCATTCGAGAATGAAACACCATCAACTATGTCCGCCTTGATCAGTCAATACCACAAAAATATGCGAAAATATCGAGGCGATCGGTGCTCAACCAATTTAAAAGTCTCTAGCCCGTCAAAGAAATGCAATCTATCAAACAGTGAGGCGCTACCAAGAAAAGCGATTGGAACGAACGCCCGGAAGAAATTGTCTCAAAATGGAGAGACATCGTCTCCAGTTGAAGAACTAACTGTACAAAGTGGTGATGGCCCTAAAGCAAAGAAGGCCAAATCAGGTAGAATAAGACCTACGGATGTCTACCCTACAAAAAATGCAAATAAGAAGAATGAATCGAAGGATAATCCATCCGTCGGAACACCAATTTCAAACTCTGATTTGAATGGTCTCGACCCAGTAGTTACATCCGGTAGCATGGGATTCGTAACTACACGATCCGTTGAAAAAATCGTATCGAAGCATGGTACCTTAACGAGGAGAGATAGACAGTCTACTCCAAACCCTTCACGATCACAGGAAATGAACAGTACAGAGCATATTGAAGCTTGGTTCACACCGGCGACACCTGTCTATAGGGCCAGCGACATTATAGAAGAAGATGTCGCCACCCTCCGATTCGGCGCCAATCAGAACTCGAGTCAACCGCGCTTGCACTTACCCGAGAAAATTAGAAACGAGAGAACACCAGCCGCACCAGATGTATATTCAAATTCTAAAGCACAAAAACAAAGTAGTCAATGCCGTACTAATGATAGAAGGCTCCAAAATTACTCCCCGGTCAATCAGGATGATGAATGGTCTCCTCTTGCACAGCAGCATTCAAATGGAAATCACATTTTTCCGAGTCCGCAACACATATTTGGACAGAGAATAGATAAAACAGTGTATCGAAACTGCACACCTTACGGAGCGAGAATAGAGGCAAAAGAAAGCGGTATTCCATTAGAGACCCATTCTAAACACCAACATTCTTCAGATGTCAAAATCATTCTGAACAGAAATTCAATCGAAAATTTCGAATGGCAAGCGGCTGAATCGATATCAAACTCGATCGCTACAGTGCTTCAACATCGAAATTCAAACTGCTTCTTGAAGTCGAAACGGCAAACAGAGACGAAGAGTTCCCAGATGAATATGGAAGTAGAGAATGGTGTTGTACCATCGATACAACTCTCAGAAAAGAATGAGAATGGATCCCTTTCTGCATCGTCTACTGAGTCTGGTGGTAGACAACTCGATAAGTGCGGGTGCCCTTCGGAAGCTTATGAAAATAATGCTGATGAAATCACAATTGAAAAGCACGTGTATGCTGTTGAGGAGACTATATCTCCAAACGCAATCGCAGAGGATCAACGACCCGAGTTTACATCAAAACAAAGATCGATTCCCTCAATTGACTCCAAATATCTGAACACCCGTGATAAAGGACACAGAGACTATTCCAAGGATGGCAACGTAGTGGACTTAGCTGATTCCGGAATGGGACTCACGTCCGAGGAAAGCTCTAAATGTAACGACATGGACAGTGCAGATGCCCAACAACATAATGATACCGCCTTCAAAAAGAATTCAAACAAAAGTGACAATTCAGCCGAAAAATCAATGCTTGCTATGGCAGGAAAAACTCGGATCTCGAATAATCCAAGCAGAGACGAATCTGCTCATCTGAAGGCAGCTGAAAAAACTTTTGAATGTACCCAAGACAACTCGGTTTCAGTCAATCATGAGACTTCACTGAGTGATAGTTTTCAACCATTGAGTGAACCGGACTGTACATCATCTCTTGACGGCACATCGACCTCAGACAATAGGGAAAAACCGAACGAATATTCCATTCGCGTTTTGCATATGGAAAAAGCGATCAAGTCTAGAGATCAAGCGATAATTTCAAACAACAATGGCTTCGCGAAAAAGTTGAGCGGGGGAAATGATTCCGAATCTCTGAACGAATCTTTTGCAGTTGAAGATCGTTTTTCAGATGAAATTCTAAGTAGAAATGGATCAAGTATCTTCAGCAATCATGGCAATTATTCAGAGTCTTCGCAAAGATCTTGCATGCATGATGATAGCGCTTCGGAAGACAATAAAAGCAGACTTAGACCAACAGGTGTTGAAAACGATGAAGACCCGAGAGAGAAAAGGGCACAAGAACAGTTCAATAGCTCGCCGAGGTCATATACAACTTCCATTGCGTCATCGAAGGATAATTTTGGTTGCTCTGGTATTGATGACGCTGCTAGTGCGTCCGGATTGTCTTCTGAATCGTCGGTTCAACCTATCATCTTGAAGAACCGTGCTTCAGAGTACGTTTCTTCGCCAGGTGATTATCGTAGAAACCCAACATGCAGCTCTTTTGGACACGAGTCACTATTAGTGCAATCGGGGAACCATCATAGAATGAGCCGTCGGGTATTAATGCCTCCCCATCCAATTTGTTCTCTTCAACGTTTGGAAGAATTGATTTTCCAACGGGAACGCATAGAAATGAGGTCGGAAGAATCCATGAAAGGAAAACGGATCAGAGGAAAGAAACTATCTGCGAAGAAACGACGAAAGACAAAGACTTTTGGTCGTTGATAAGGGAGACTTGCTACCTTTTTGAGACATTGAGTGGACTTGCGGCAATGCATTTTTGCTAGTAACCCATAATATCTTGCACTTGTTTTCGTGTCAGATTGAGTCGTAGAGGAACGGCAACGATCGGAACAGTTCCTGAACGAGGTTTCTTCTTGGTTTCTTCGATCTGAGCAAGAACAAAGTCAAGTTGGTCATATTTCAGGAGAATTTCAACAACTGCCTGGAGATGACACAAGTATTCCAATTCTGTTTCATGGCGAAATCGCCTTCCTCCTAGATGGAATGGAAGAACGTTCAAATACAGTCCTCGGAAACCAAAACCTTGAACCGTCCTCTCTTCTTGCCGATTGCCGGTCGAATGAGAGTGAGAACCAAACTCGTAGCAGGATGTCAACCAAGATACGGTACAATAATGAAGTCAACACTTCTTCCGAATCGTCCTGTATGTCTAATAATCGTCGAGTAATTAGTCGAACCGAATGGTAATCTAATTTTTAGGTAGAATGCGGACTGTAGATTCTTCTCAGAAGGTGAGAGCGAGGTACGAGCACGAATCCCTAGGTGAAAATTAGATTACCATTCGGTTCGACCTTGATTACTTGATGATTACCGAGTAATCAACAAGATGCCGAAACCGAGGGACAAGGATGAGACCGATGTTAAATACTCTAATAACTCACTGAAGTTGTGTCTGAATGATCCGGGGGACGAGGAAGAATGAAGACACAACTGAAGTGAGTTACTTCAAGCGCCCAGACTAATTACTCGAGGACGATTGACGTAATAGACTAGTAGCTCAGTATTTTTGCCTAGTAGTAATCGCGCTTGCCAGCAATTGCCTCCTCCGATATGGGGGAATGGGCTCTTTTCCCTCCCTGGTGTCCCTGGATGCTGCAAATGAACTACAAGCACTGGTTTGCTATATGGGGAAATGGACTCCTCTTTTCCCTCCCCGGTCCCCCTCCCTGGATCCAGCAAATGAACTACAAGAAGCATTGCCTCTGAATTGTAGTAGGGGAATGGGCTCTTTTCCCTCCCAAATGAACTACTACAAGCGTTGCCTCCTTCGATATGGGGGAATGGGCTCTTTTCCCTCCCCGGTCCCTCTCCAGATGCTGCTTCTTTCTGTTTTGATGAAAAACTGGACTGATTTTATGATTCTGGTACAAAATTGCTGTAGGATTCTACAACAAAATTGTGAATCAAGGCATTACTACATTATTTTACTGCAAATGTACTATGTAGTCTCACTGCTATCCTCACTGTTACTGTATGGTGATTAGCTCCACAGCAAGCTTTAGCTCCATGCTCCATGATAATACTCATTCCTCTATTCAAGCCATCATAAGAATAGCATGAACTACTACATGATGTGATCTCTTCTTTGTCACAAATCTTGTTGCTGATACTCAACTCAAGATGCATATGAACCTGCTCAATTTTGTCAGTTAGCTCACGTTTGACTGCTCTCAAGTCTTCCTGGATACAATTTGGTGGTTCTAACTTGCGGTTGCTCGCAACAAGGTCATCATTCACTCTGTTGAGCTCATCTTTGAGCTCAGCAACTTTGTCAGCATGAGAATCTTTCATGCACTTGAGTTTCCGATCCTGTTCCTGAATGGTGGCCTCAAGGTCATGCATGATAATGGTCAGCTGAGCATTGTCATCCTTGAGTTCCTTCATTTCCATTTGATGCTGCTTCTTAGTACTAGCGTCCTGCTTGCTTGCTTCCTTAAAGCTGCTCTTCCTTTTTTTGCTTTCTTCTTGAACTTGGCAGTTTTCCTTGTTACTACTTCTCAAACAACAACTTGAAGAAGACAGAGGGGGAGGAGGCTTTCTTTTGCAGTCAACACACCATCACAGAGAGCTTTTGAAGATGATTTTGTATTGTTGAGTTATCATGGATATATGGCTCTACTGACTTGGCATTCTTATGCTGGATATGGTTCATCCTCATCTTGTCAGTAACGTTCTCATTAGATGCAAGGGATGTTGTGGTGTTGGTTATCATGAGGTGTGAACCTGTCCCAGTTGTTGAACCCTGCTACCTTGGCAAATTCTTTGATCCACTCACAAATTGCATCCCCTCCAATCTAGGAGTTGGGTCTCTCCCTATAGTGATACGTATTGCCTTTCCTCCTTTTGTGGTTCACCACATAGCAGAAGGAGTGCTTTTGATTTGGGTGACAAAGCTTCAGGTAATGGAAGATTAGTTTCACAATACAGAACTTGTTTTCTCTTTGCTCAACCACTATTGGCTTTTGTGTATTCACAGCCAAATGAAGAACAGATATTTTGTTTGCTTTATCATCCCCTCAACATGGGCTAATAATTACGTGTCTCAGTCCCTTATTCACTCCACAGTCATATGTACCAAGGGTTACATCACTCCACGTCAATAATACTAGCTCAGTCTTCCCGTGAAGACCAAACTGCCTACCAAGCTCCATTGCAATCATCTTCATAAGATCAAGATCATCATTGTAAGGCTTCTTCTTGTAGCAGGTTCCATCTTCAAGATTTGAGAGATACTTCTTGTCTCTGTGTTCATTGAACTTTGCCTTGTTCCTCTTGGTGCCAAACCAACCCACGGACAGACCCAACAATCCACAACCACATACACCCATCAAATTTACACCCCATCACCTTGACACCCCCCAGTCAAAAGAAAACCATACTAAACCAAAAAAACACAAAAGAACACCAAAAATGAACAACAAGGACTAATGCCTAACTAAATTAAGCAACAACCACCAACAAACGACAAACTTAGGCAACGAAACCACTCCGCTGCCCACCCCAACACCTCAGCCCCACAACAATACCACAACACCGCACCAGACCAAAATAGAAGACACTACAGCAATAATCAACCAAACGCTCACAAAGTAAATTTTGTACAACCAAAATCCTACAGTTTCAATCATCAACATACCAACCCTCGCCCTTGCCCCCGCAGTCCGCGACGCCATTGTCGCCATCCTCAAGGAACAACCCCACCCACCACCTGAAACCCAGGACCCATGGACCCCAGGACACCTTTACCAGGCCATCCTCAACAACCACAGGGTCTCCCCAGTCCTTGCTCTTGGCCATAGCCACAACACGCTTTACGTAATCAACCTACACCCAACCAACTGTAAAATCCTCACGATCCAACACCACCAAGCACTAGACCAAGCGGACCACAAATGCCCTCAGGCAACAGGCCCAAACAGAACCCAACAAGCCCTCACCAAAAACCCAATCCCATTCCTCAAACCCCACGCAACCGCACAAACAAAAAACAAATGACTCCTTCAAGAAATCCCCCCCTCCCTGCTAGATTTCTACTGCACCGACCACCTACCAACCCACCCCAACAAACTCCGCACTCAACTCATCCGGGAAAAAGCGATGGTTCTCCTCCAACAACAGCATGGAATTCATAATCATGGGACAAGCTGTCTGGTAGATCAACCTTGTTTGTGAAGTATTTGTGGAGCTGGACGTCGCCAGGATCATTCTTGCAAGTCAAAATCCAAGATCTTCTGTTGGTATTCGATTCTTGGCTCTTGAAACTAACCGTTCTCATTTTCATTTGCGGTTTATTTATGCTGCTGGAATTTTCTCAAAAATTCTGGGAAAATAGCTCAACTTGGAAAGCAGTGGTGGTGACTGTCAGTGGTGGCGACTGTCGCTGGTGTGCTCCCCGATTGAGGAAAGGAGTGATAAATCAGGTCACTCTAGACTTTCTTGTTCTTGTTCTGATGAGGTGTATGAGTTGAGGTAAGTCTATTTGTTGCCCATAACCTGCGAAATGTACGTATACTCTCTAGTGTTGCATGACTGCATGTTTACAATAAAGAGTGAGGATGAGCTTATTGCTCACTCACTATCTACTCGTGATTTACGTGATTTGTGGCTCGTTGAGTATTGGAAACGACGGACAGACGAAAGACGGAACCAGACGACCCGGCACCGCGAAAGCCGACGGCCCCACCAATACGCTGCCCTTGCACCCCAACAAGCCTTGACCTCATTCTCAAAAGTATTGCAGTGAAAGAATGCCACGTTAGGATGAGACATGATGTGAGGAAGATTCACCCCCTTCCCCGCCCTTCAACACAGGAGAAAAACCAGTCGCAAAACAGTAATAGGTCAACAGCGTCAAAGACGCCACCTCGATACCTCAAGACCATTACACATTTCACTACCCATAGTAGATCTAATCACATTAGTCAAATCCTAATTTCCGCAAACACTACGAAAGGTCAAATACCTGACCATTTAGATCTATAGAATACCAGACCCCAGGAGTACAATCATACGGTACCATAGTACCAAGAGGCCCAGAATGTCCCGTGGCAATAGTCTAGCAAAGCAATACGGAAGAAGGAGAGACAAGGCTACAATAACTCAGGCTAAGAGCAGTTAGGAACAACTACACTTAGTTACTGGCTCAATTTGTGATTTCTACGATTTCTGATCGACACTTATATTCCAAAAAAAAACTAACTCCACCGAAACCATATTCCATATTCTATATTGTAGCTGTCCAGCAGCAATCTGACAGTCCCAATGGATTGTCGACCTTTGCGCCCAACTGGGATTTGTTGAAGGCCCACGACAAGAAGATGGTCTGCCCAGAGTGCACAAACTGGAGTGGCGAGGCCAGCAGCGATTGTTACTATTTCTCCTATGCTTCGGACGGTCACAAGTACGTTTGGACCTCGTCAATGGACGGTGATCACAACGTCCAAGCCTTCGATATCGACACAGGAGTTTACGCCAGATATCTCGACACCTGCAGCACTCCACTCAACATGGAATACCATTCGGCATGTGACGAGATGTTTGTCCGGTGCGCCCAGGAGGACAAAGAGGGAGGGAATCCCGGCGAGATTGATGTCTTTTCCAGCGTGACTCTTTCCAGCGATCTTCCCTTGGTCCGTTTCAATGACACTCCTCGTCCCTACGGACGGCTGGCGATTCACTCCGCGATGGGCCCCTATGGATACTCGCTGGCATATGACCAGCCGTACATCACCGAAATGGATCTGAGCTCTAAAACGGTTGCCGCCACTTACAAAATCCCAGATGCCTATGGGGGACACCACCTACTCCCTGATCAACAAGCATCTGTACTTCCGGAGTTGGGTCTGCTGCACCTGTGGTTCGGCAGAGACCGCTGCGGAAGAGGTCCCGGCAAAAATGTCACGGTCAAGACGGGTCCCTCCAAGAACGACGTGGAACAGATTGGTGCGTGTTCGGGCAGCTGCAAAGGGTCCCCTGCGGATACCATTGGTGTCGTCGAATTTGATACCGTAAACAAGGTCATTGTCAATACCCATAACATCAAGGAGGGAACCAGATGGGGTGCCAATCCTGTGTCATCTCCAGACAGAAAGTGGATTGTCCTTCTCGGAAACGACGTTGGACAATACGTGAGAATTATGTAGCTGGCGAAAAATGGAGAATCTTTGGTGCGTTGAACGTATGCATATATAAACAACATGGATATGTGTTGTCTTTACCGGGTATCCTGAAACTCAACTCATTTCCTTTCATGCTTGCGTGTCTATATTACTTTCATCAATTATTCATATTATTCACTAGGCATCGTCGATTCGTGACGTCGTCATCGACTTCACCGGAGGAACCCCGGGAAAGACAGTCATCTCGGACGTTGCATTCGTTCAGGACAAGGACCGTGAGATTCTGGTGGTGGGCGCCAGCACCGACAACGATCTGGTTTTGGTGGATCTCAAGACATTCCAGACCCGTAAGCTGAATCTCGCTCCGGGTGTTGCCGAATCGACGGGGGGTGGCACCCGCCACGTCGAATGGGCGGTCGATTCCAACTACATCTGGGTCAACGACGGAGAGGCCAAAGAAGCCTACATCATCAAGATCACCGGTGGGATTCAAACCACCAGTCTTTCCAAGACTCTGACCAGTGTCGCCGCTGGAACTATGCTCTTTGTCTGTAACTATGTTGAGAGAGAGCGCATGAAGGCAGAATTTGCCAAAGCTGCATCCACCTTTGTGGCTTCTTCTGCTTTGTCATCGTCATCAAAGAAGGAATCCAAGAGTGAACTCACCCCCAGCAGCAGCAATGCCAGCAGTAGTCTATTGGAAGACGGCGGAGATGAAGTGGTCGACAGCGACAATGTTCTCAGTGTGGTAGGAGTCATCCTGGGCGCCCTCGGTCTGTTGGCCAGAATCAGTGCTCTGGCACTCGTTTCCTCGGCACAAAAGGCATCAGCGGCTTCCGATCTTCCCAAAACGAACGATGTCGAACAAGCCACAGACGTGAAGACTCTCGGAAGCAAGCAGGTCAGTTAACTAAGTGGCCATCCATGCACGAATGTTAAGGAGGGTATCCTCTCTTGTGTCTCCATCTTCCCTTCCAACCCTTTTCATTGCATAAGTACAGTGTAGTAAAGCATATCATAGTATCGTATAGTACATTTATTTATCAAGTTTATCTTGTAAATGGGTGATTCCCGTAAACATAGAATCTATGCTGACATACTTTGCGTCTATGACTCAACGGGAATGAGTATGTAAAAACTTAGAATCTTAGATATTGAATTATGGCGGGCTACATGTTCTTAATTTAGGAATATGGAATTTTGCTTGAAATTAACAGAAAATAATTGCATTCCCCCGGCAGTCATTGACACTTGAGAACTGGCTGTCAGTTGCTCGTGACTAATGAATTTTTGAATCGAGGATTCCAAAAAATCTATGTGTTTTTTGCATACTTTTGGTTGTCAAGAGCCTGCCTGAACCAAAAATCTATGTATCTGTGTCAAAAACACATACTTCTATGTGTGCACGTCTGAAGTCTAATATGATTTTACTTAAATCTATGTTTACAGGAATCACCCAAATTCATATTCATAGACATCAGAAACTCTTCAATAAGCCAACCCTTTCGGTGGTAGAGATATGATATGCTAGACGACAGTGATAATTAAAATTGGTTGCGGCCGCCGCCTTGGTTTTTTTTTGGCCAAAAAAACTTACTACGGTGCAAAAACTAGGTTATTGCTAGTATATTAATTGCTAGTAGAATGACTTGTTGTCACAATAATGACTGAATGTTTAAGTTAAAAATGAAATAATTTATTTTGGTAAAGGTACTAATTTATTTGCAAAAATTAATATACCGGGGTTTGTACAAATCTACACTAAAAAAAATATCTTTTTGTTTCCTCAATAAGTCCAGGGCTGTAAGAATTCTTCAAAGTTAGTGGCTACGTGCACTAAAGATAGAGATAGTGAAGTGCAGTGCACCGTAGCCAATTCCGTGATCAATAATGATTTTTGTTGGATAATAGGCCGCTAGAAGATATACAAACCAAAACAAGTTTTGATCTCATCTTGGCATTGCATTGATGAATGGAGGTATTGAAATGGACTTGAAAGCTCCATATGATGAAGGTTCTAAGCCAGAGTGGATGTCTCAGACTTCAAAGAATGGAAAATATCACCCTTGCAATTGCAGGATTTGTTTCTTCTGTGTGAACAAGAAGACCAGCACCATTGCTCATGGAAAGGTAATGTCAAAGCCACATAAAGAAAGATGCAGTGGCAAGTATGAAAGAGTAAAGAGGAACTATTGTGTTATCTGTGTAGAAGAAGCAAAGCATAGGTATCCAACTAACTCATCAGAGAAGAGATTGAGGAAGTTGCCAGCATGGATTAGTAGTAGTATAAATGTCAAGGAATGGTTGCAGAAGTTGCAATGTTGCTGTATGTAAAGAGCATTGGAGTAACTTCAACCATCAAGTGTAGTGATGTGTTATAAATGAATATATTTATATTTGTTAAAATACATTCTTATAATATTGTTTATAGTGATGATAGGGGTGTGATAAGTGGAGTAGCAGTGTAGTAGTAGTAGCAAAAAAAAAATCCCAAATTTTCCAGGTGGCAACATTTGGCAACACGCGACGGGAAAAAGTTAATTTTGGGACCAAGGATGGAATATGAATTTTCAAATCGATGCGCACCCCTCTAAATTTATGACCCCTGCACGGTATTGGGTCATTCCCGTTAGTCTAGATGGTCTAAAAATCTAAAGTAGACCTTTTAGACTTTTTAGTTTTACGGGAATCATTAAAAACAGGGGCCCAACGGACATTTTTAGGCGCTCTTTCTGGTCTCGAAGGAATTTGGAATCTAACTACTAGAAAAGCGCGCACCTACTAGAAAAGCGCGCACACAACAAATTTTTATTGGATAATAATGAGTCATGCGACGGATTTTCATTCTTGGATTCTGGTCTAGATTTAGACTTTCTGTAAGGCCGGGAGTGGAGSGTTGACAGAAAGTCTAAAAATTAAGACTAGATGGTCTATTTTTCGTCTGTCTGTCTTCCAAAAAGTAGACCATCTAGACTAACGGGAATGACCCATTGACTCAACAATTTTGGTCCAATTTGTACCGGTACGTGTAGCTGGATGGCTGCAAATAAAATATCACGCATGGGAAGGGCAAGATGACCAGGGACGTTCCGAAACAGCGAATTTCCACGTACGCTTAACTACTAGATGCACCGCACGTTTGACCACTTCGACCAGTGGTAACATTGGGCACGTGTGTCTTTTGAATTGGGGGATATGGGAAACTATTTCTTCAAAATTCAATTTTTTTGCTACCAGAATTCGACTACAAATCGACTAGAAAAGGAATACAAATCAGATTTAAATCTGATTGATATCTAATTGATATCTGATTTATAGTCGATTTTTGGTAGCTTCCCAGATCCCCCATGTATAATTTGAACTAGACCCACAGTGGAAGACAAGGAAAAAACGCAGCATTTTTAAATAAAAAATATATACACAACTGAAGAATATATATTTTATATTATTTATATACATGAATAACGTATATTCATTCCCGCAAAATAATTGGTCATCCTCAACAAACGCCTATGTGCAACAGATATGTATGTACGTACGTACTGTTGTGGAAGTAATGTACCTACTGAATTAGAAGTATGATACGTACGTACTACGCGTAAAATAACAATTGAACTTTTGTTAATTAAGGGGTTCGGAACGTTAATTTAACGCTAAATAGTATTCATCATGTATGTTTCTACCTTAAATCGAATATATTTCTACCTTAAGTCGACAATGTTTTTACCATAAATCTACCAGAAAAAAGCCAGAGAAATCTGACCTAAATGAAAATTGTTTCCCGGGACCCCCTCTTTTTTAATAGAGGTGCTGCGTTGCAGCAACAATCTACCATAGTCGAACTAGTCGGAGATCTGGTAGCTAAGCGTACGTGGAAATTAGTCGTTTCGGAACGTCCCAGTAGAGCTACTGAGTACCAGTACGGGCCCCATAATGGCAAGTTATTGGCAATCCCCGTACAAATACAAATATAAATTTTTAGCTCATTTTTACAGTTAAAACCAGTTATACTCTAATCACCAGCTTGCGAGACCTGATGCCGTCTTTGGAAGAGTGGTTCGAAACCTACGACGGGCTCTACCATTTAAAGCTCTACTGTATTAACTAACCTGATCTCAATAATTATATTTTTCCTACGTGTCGAAATCGCTGATTGTGTTGTCTTACATGGCGCATATGAAATCGTCCAACAACGAAAGTCGAACAAATATCTTCTAACCTGATCTCAATATTTATATTCTTGCTACTTGTCAAAATCGCTTATTGTGTTGTCTTGCATGGCGCATATAAAATCATTGAATTGCCTGCTGGTTCTTTTGTTCGACAATTTTCTGTTAAATCGACGAACTGCGATATTGAGCTTATCTATCTACAAAAGAGAGGCTCATTTCGCAGGTTATTGGGCTCGAGTAGCTAGTGAATAAACTCACTCTTTATTGTAAACCACGTACGGTATTACCGTACACTAAAGAGCCTATCAGCATTTCGCAATGAATTCCTCACAATAAATCGATGTAAACTTCTCGCGATCACCCGCTGCGAAATGTGCTCATAACCTGCGAAATGTATGCATGCTCTTTAGTGTTGTATAACTACATGTTTACAATAAAGAGCGAGTGAGTTGAGTGTTGAGTGGATGCGCTGTTCGCTGTCACTCACAATTCAGTTTTGTTTTACGTGATTTACTACGTGGTATTGCCTCACACCCGCGACCATTCGAGCAACGCGAAATTTTGACACAAGTTGTACCCATTCAAACGACAGCCATGTCGACAGTTCTACGAAGCTTCCAGTTTGAGGCAACGGCATCGATCGCTTCTGTAACGGCATCTCTTCCCAGCCACTCTGCCGTCCTCGATCATGCTCTTGATTGGAACAAGACGAATCGCCATATTCCGAAATACCTCAACGTAGCTACGATTGCTGGAGGTCTCAACAATGGCCCCGATGAAATCAATCTTATGGGCCCACCGATACATGCTAGAAACGGAGATGATATCTCCGTCATTGTCAAAAACTCTCTTTCCACAACAGGCCTTTCCATCCACTGGCACGGATTCGAGATGGAAGATTCAATGGTATACGATGGCGTGGTAGGTGTCACCCAGTGTCCCATCTCTCCATCAGACACATTCGCATATAATTTCAGCGTAAACGAAACTCCTGGCACTTATTGGTACCACACTCACTCCGGTGAGCTTGGAATCGATGCCTACAATGCGATCAAAGGTCCTCTGATTGTTCATCCATCAGTGGATATATCGGGGGGGAATGGCAATGAAGACGAACGCAAATCCGCCATCGCTGCTATGTTGGATCAGCAAGACGAAGACAGCGCAAACTACGACGATCGTCTCTTTTATGACAACGAAAGAATTCTCTTCTTCTCCGATGGATCGCATTTTTCGGACTCGAAAGTTTATTTACAGAATCTTGGATCCTTGAATCCACCGATATCATTCTCGGATGACTTCTATAGAGTCGGAACCTTTCCTTGGAATTTTGGGACATGCAATGGCGTTATGCGAGAAATCGTACCAGTGTCTCCGGGTCGCAAATACAAAATGCGTCTAATAAACGCCGGCCACCTCTTTGCTTTACGCATTGCCATGGATGGATTCAAATTCACAATCGTTGCCGCCGACTCGGAGCCGGTAGAACCCTATGTGGTAGATGAAGTAATACTTCATACCGCCGAAAGATTCGATGTTGAAATCGAAGTACCAGCCAATGCAAAGGTTGGATCGACATCATGGATTCGTGCAGACACTCTCGAGAGCTTTGAGCAAGGTTACAAAAATGGAATTAGAGCTATTCTTTACATTGTTGATGATGAAGATGAACAACCATTCAAAGATGAAGAAGTTTTAGATCCGCTTTTGCCCATCGCAACAGAATACAATTCTCTTGATCGAGTGACTATGAATTGTTTGAGTACATACGAAGCAGAGGAGAAAGGTCCAAATGGAGGATGTATACCCATCACAAAACTCCGCCATATAAATCACCGCAGAAATTTGGAAAGAGAGGATCCCTATGGCTACAGCAGCAGCGCTTTTTCTCAAGAATACGAGGTCCATACCATCGACTTCGAGTGGAGCGCTAGTCCACAGTTTGCTCATTTCACTAGCATCGATGAAGGCCCGTGGTTACAACATTCGCTAGACGCATCAAATTCTATGATGCATACATCATTTGACTTAGCGGAAGACCTTCATCCACATGCTGCTGTTTTGAATGTTGAAGCCCACTCAACAGCAATTCTCATCTGGCGAAACAAATCTCAGATGGATCATCCAATTCACCTGCACGGTTTGAAGATGGAAATTTTAGACGTTCACAATCCCAAGAAGGCAGAGAGTTGTGTACTCAACAACTGTTCGCTAAGCAAAGCTTTTTCATCCAAAGATACACTCGATGCCCTAGCAGCAACTCCGCAGGGTGCAGTTCTGAAAGATACCTTCATCTTACCCGCGGGAGGAGCCGTTGCAGTGCGGATAAAAACTGGAGACCCGTCGCTTTGGTTTGCTCACTGCCATCTCGAAACCCATCGCGAAGACGGCATGGCTCTCATTCTCAATGTCGGTAACTACCAAGCTCCTTCTGATGGCAGTTGGCTTCCACAAGATTATCCTCGATGCGATACGCCATTCCTAGAGACAAAAGTACCTTTCCCATCGTGCAAGTGTTTCTCGAACAAAGATGCTGTCCTTGCTGGTGCCCTCAGTGACGAGCATTGGTGCAGTAGGGATCACCTTTGTTTCCACGAGTATAGTGAGGGAAAACTTGACTCGTATCCTGTTGCCTCGCAAGGACTCCACATCCAGTCGCAATACCGAATACCCGGATGGGCCATTAGTCTCATTGCGGGCGGAATTGTCGTTCTCATCTCAGTATTTTGCGCATACCAAAGTGCTGTACCTGAACCTTGGAAGGAACAGTTGAGTCTAAAGAGACGAAACAAGCGCTCGAGTCTAAGAAAAACGGTGGTGATTGATAATGAATACAATTCCAAAGAGTTCGATTTAGATCCGGAGCGTAACGTGAAGGTGGAACCCGAGGCTGCTCCAATCTCATTTGACTCGCCGTTTTGGTACCAGCTACAAGAGCTACTCGTTTCCCAATGGGGTCAATATCGACCGACTGCGATCAACGGACTTCGCGTAGTCGAAGTGGTAGGCCTTGCATTGCTGACTGGGGCTTTATTTTACGACATTGGCAATGATACTACAGCAACGGGTTTTGTCAAGGTTAATTCTCTTCTATTCTTTTCCGTTACACTATGGTGAGTTTCTCGAAGTTTTCTTTTGTGATGTTCGATGCCGCATCCTACGCAGCTGCAAAATCGAGAGCTATACGTTTCAGGCAATCGTTCTACTACGTTTACTCACACCCACTCTCTTTGCTCCCATCTTTCACTACAGGACTTTTACACGAATGTATACATCGGTTGGATCTACTTACCTCTGGTACATAGCAGTTGAGGACGACGTTGTAAACAAGCGAAATTATGCCGTCGGGCCACTTTACCTATCGCGTCTCATAGTTGTCATGTTGGCGGAATCCTTCTGGCCGTTCCTTTACGTCTTCGTTTGCTACCCACTTGCTAGCGTTGTCGGTGACTGGACAGTTGTGATCAAGATAGGAATGCTCCTCTGCCTGAACAATGCTGCATACATATCACTTGGCTCCTGCCTCGGGGTGCTCTTCCCAAGCATCCCCCAAGGAATGATAGCCTCGACACTATTCTCCCAAACATCATTGGTGGCTGCTGGATTTTACACCACCCTCCCCGTGTACCTAAGCTGGATTCGCTATAGCAGTCCAGTGTTTTGGACGTTTAGCGGTATCGTCAAAGCAGCATACACATGGTCTGACACGTACAAGTGCATCAAGGGCTCGAATCTTGCCGGAAACAACAGATGTTTCATCGAAACCAGCCCCGTGATCGACGACATGAAAGAGCGAGGAATCAACGCCGCAGTCTATGGCGATGCTCAATCGGACAATATATGGCTCCAGGTATGCATGCTAATTCTATTGCTCTTCCTCCTGCAAACCACTATCTACATTACTGTTAATGTGCGCTGCAGCAGAAGAAAAAAGGCGAAGGAAGAAGGAATTGACGACTCGGAAAGAAGTGCCGGTAGCGCAGAATCAAAACAATGCAAAATGAGCGGTTGATAAGACTAGAAGACGACTCTGGAGCCTAAAATATAAACTAATTTGCCAAAATTCATGTAAGTAGAATTCACCGAATCTACCATCCTCGTCGAAGTTGAGACTGATAACTCTGCTGGCGATGGCGGTCGTCGCGGCGATTTTCGTTTCGATGACCACCTCGTCGACGACGAAACAGATTCAAATCGTGACAAAAAGGGATCACGCGCGTCGAATACAATAGGTAGGAATCATACATACTACGAACCGATAATCGTACATACGTTCGATACATGGAATACATATTATAGTATGCGGGTTCTGTGAATAAGAAATTCTTGATACCAGGTGGTAGTAAAGAAAGATATTCTTTATGAAGGAACAAAGGCAATACACAATATATGCAATGAGAGGACAACATCTGAAGATCAAACAAGAATGAAAGCAAATGTTGCTGCAAAGATAAGGATAGCAGCAAGAAGAATGGCTACTACTAGTACTACTAGTAGTACTAGTACTAGCTAGTAGTAAGTTTCTTCAAGAGTAGGTGATAGCAACAAGCAAGAAGAAGTTGTTCTTGTTGGGCACAGCAGCAAGAACCACCACCACCACCACTGGTAGTAGTACTAGCTAATTGTAAATTTTGGTTGTTCACTCATCAATTTGTGTGCATTGATAATAGTAGCAGTAATAGTGCCTGCTGATACTAGTAGTGTTGCAAGTGTTTTATCTCAAAGAAGTAGTAGTACTACTATTAGTACTATTATAAAGATGGAGTTTTTTCAGGAACAAAAACACTGCTATAAGAAAAGTGCTGCAGCAGAGACCACTAGTAGCAAACTACACATTGCGTCATCAGAAGCGGTGTGTGGTTTGACGGAAGGATGCTTTGTAAAGTCAATACTACTATCTGTACCAGCAACAACATTACGTGCAGCTGAAGACTCGATTATATAAAACTGGAGTATGCTAACAAATACATCAGCAGCTTTATCGCAATTAAAACTTGCCGCGTCGACGTCGAGCGGTGTATTTGGTATCGGGACGCACGTTCTTTCCCTTTTTCCTTTGAGTTTCTTTCTTGTGCAAAATCCATTCCTTTGTCTTGACACCCTTCTTTTTTCTGATGGGTTTTTCTTTCCCGCGTTCTCTCTGCGTTCTTCCAGAACTCGAAGACGAAACCTGAACATGCCTATTGCTGTTTTCAACCCGTTCGTCACCAGTCATGCCAGTTGGAAGCTGTTTTCGACAAGTACGATCGCAGCTCAATACTAGGTAGTGCTTCTTAGCCTTGGCGGAATTGGGATAGTCGACGACGATTCCGCCACCGAAGCCGACGGCAGTGGCGCATTCACTGATCAGCACAGCCTGTTCGGCGGTTTCGGGATAGAATTGAAGCACGGCACGTGCCGATTTTTTAAGAATAGAGTACAGGCTTGAAAAGAATCTTACCAGGCGCCTCTTAGGAATCTGAGATGCACTGTTGCTATAGCACAACCACTGGAGGGCTGAAATGGACACACACGCATCGAAGGTTGCCGGCCGGAAGGGAAGTCCGGTACCCATGTCGTGGTGCATGAGATCCCCTGTGGATGGAAGTCCGTCATCGTCTTCGTCGTCGCTGTTATCGCTCATCCCGCTGTCACCGTCGTCTTTCACTTTATAAGAATCTTCCATTCTTTCGTGCGCTACTTGCAACATATCTCTCGAAACGTCACAGCCAACCCATACGTGCCCCTGCTCTTCCAACACCTCACCACTCAGGCCACTTCCACATCCAATATCTAGAACAAGAGATGTTTCATCTGGCGGCAGTAGCAACAATTCAATGGCACGAAGTGTGATCTCTCGCTGAACGTTGATCATACGCGAGCTCGAGTTGTACTTTCTCGCTTCTTTCTCATTGTAGAAGTTTGAGGCGTGGCCGGTCAATTCGGGACGGGACATCGTTTACGTATTATTGAATGCTCTTATTTTTCTTCCTACAGCGAGGCAGACTTCTTCTGTTGATAATCAAGACGTGATATTTCTCAAAGAACATGTGAAATATCACCTTCACTTTGATCCCTCTCAGGTACAGTACGGAACCTCGTAGCTCACGACAACAGAGAAAAATGGTTCATACAGAACGTCACGTAGTTTTGCCGTAGAACATATTCTCACTTTTTGGGGTGGGACACCAGAGTTACACTACCGAGCGTTCGGCTTCATTATTACAGTACGATATTATTTTTCGTCTCGAAAACTTTTGGAATAACATTTCTCTATTCTTGTTTTTGGTGGTCTCAGCTGTCCAGTTCATCCGTCGTACGGTAAGAACAAATGACACCACCTCCGTAGTGCGCCAGCCTGCTATTTGTACAATCTATACCTGTTCCCGCGAATTTCCGAATTCAAAAATTACTGCAATGACCTGCCGCTTATGAAAACCCCGCAATGCAAACCCTCCCGCGAAAACTGTAAGACTTACGTACTGAAGAAAATTACTTCTACTGAAAAAGCTGCTGCCACTTTGTTCTCGTCGAGTTGCTTCTAATTCCTCGTCATTGCATCGATTTTAACTCGACCTGGACGCATTTACAATTGTCGGTACTGGTACTGGTTTGACTTTGATATCGGTGTCCTACAAATAATCATATCTTCCCTCGTTGTCAACATGTGGTATTATTATTTGGCCGCCGGACTATTCACCTTCTGGTGGTTTGCTCTTCGACCTCGCGGGGGAGGAAAAGATTCTCCTCCGTTGGTCACAGCGTCCACCGTCGTTCGAATTCCACTCGTCGGCGTAATTGCCGAGTTTCTGAGTAATCCGAATGAAATGATGAAGCGGTGCTACAAGGATTACGGTGAAGTATTTACGGTTCCGGTGAGTTGACCCTCTAAATGGAAATAAGATCTCTGATTTACTTATTGGAACGTATATTTCAAATGTTCTTCGAAGTTTTGGGAATGGGCCCAAAAGAAGTTCGGATTCCGACATCGCCGGAGTCAGTCGAATGAAAATTGCAACTAGTCATATGAAATCCATTTCTCAACGATGATGGATGCAGATTGGAGCGCAGTTGTGTTGGTTACGCGGCGTGATTTTCTGACGAATTGTGAGAACATTGCTACATTCTAGCAACTACTCACTACTTCCTTCGCTTGACCTAGGTGGAATAATTATGATCGTTGGTTGGTCGACCGGGTGATCTTTCTTAAAGGCTCTCACACCACATTTATATTCCAGTCATGTCTCACCTTGACAATTCAAACTTCTGTTCTCTGTTGTTCCCCATGAAAGATTTTCCACAAACGCATTACTTTCTTGATTGGACCCGAGGCGCAAGAACTCTTTTTTAAATCTGGGGACGACGTTCTCAGCCAGGACGAATGCTATCATTTTATGCAGGCCGTCTTCGGCCCCGGTGTCGTGTACGATGCGACACGAAAGAAACGTCAAATGCAATTCCAGACCATGGCGAATGGGCTCCGAACATCGCGCATGAAAACTTACATCCCTAAGATTCAAGAAGAGACTGAGAAGTACCTGAACGAAAAAATGGGTGACGAATCTGGAACCGTAGATCTGTATCAGGCTCTGAGCGAGCTCACCATTCTTACTGCCTCCCGTTGTTTGCACGGAGACGATGTCCGGGAGCACATGTTTGCGGATCTCCAAAACTTGTACCACGATTTGGACGAGGGTTTGACTCCCTTGACCGTCTTGTGGAGTCATGCTCCAACGGCTCGGCACAAGAAGCGAGACGCGGCCCGCGAGGAGCTTGTGAAACTATTCGGTAAAGTCATCAAGGAACGCAGGGAAAATCCAGAACGATCCGATGGAACTGATATCTTGAGTTTATTCATGGATATGAAATATAAGGATGGAACCCTTGTCACTGAGACAGAAGTTACTGGTTTGTTGATTGCGTTGTTGTTTGCGGGACAGCACACGTCTTGCGTCACTAGTACCTGGACGATGCTGTTGCTTCTCCACAACCCCAAGGTTTTGGAGCGTGTAATGGAAGAGCAAGACCAATTTTCGAGCAAAGAGGTTCTTGAGCTCGACGATGTCCAACAAATGAGTCTTTTGCACAACTGTATGCGCGAAGCACTCCGCATGTGCCMCACTTTTATCATGTTGTTGCGCCAAGTGATGAAGGACACTTCTGTCACCGTGAACGGAAAGACCCATCGCATTCCTAAGGATGACATTGTAGCTGTTTCGCCGACGGTATCGATGAGACTCGACTCGACCTTCAAGGATGCCAACACATTTGATCCCGATCGGTATCTTCCACCCCGGGAGGAACACAAAACTCCGTATGCCTATTTGGGATTTGGTGGTGGTATGCATTCGTGCATGGGGCAGGTCTTCGCATATGTCCAAGTCAAGACAATCCTCTCTATCATTTTGAAACGTTATGAATTGACTCCTGAAGCCAACAAATTGCCCGATATCGGTTACAACGATATGGTTGTAGGTCCCAAGGGCAACTGCAACGTGCACTACAAGAAGAAGGCATCACTATAAATTGAGTCACCCGCTAGCGAACACTGACGGAAAAAAAATCCAACACGATGTCAGATTCATAGAAAGATATCAAAATAGGAAGAAATGGTCATTTTACAGTTTTCTTGCTGCGTGCACTTTCAGAAATCCAACAACCTTGTTACAGGAAGTCCAATTGTCTTTGGTCTTTTACGTACAAACATATTAATCATTTTCCTGGACCCTGTATGATTCGTCATCGAACGAGTAAGCACACTCGACTGATGTGAAATACGGAGCTATTTTCGATAGTTATCGTACTAGTACTACCATACCCATTAGGTGAGATTAAGAAACTAGAGCATTTCAACTTACCCTACTATCGCCATGCACGTGGGTACGTACTGGTACTCGTTCATGTACCACACGTAATGTTCATTCCGTAAATTTTCAGTCATGTTTTGTTTAGATAGAGAAACATTTTCGGTCGCCTCACAATCCGCAACAAATTGAACATCGATACCTCCACAAGGAGAGGAGACGTCCGTGCATAGCATAGCCATTTCATTTTTACAAACTGCCGATATTCAATACCAACATATAGCCCAGTGCCGGCCCAAAGCATCATAGAACATTGAGATTCTATTCGATAGACAAATCCTAGTAGAAGACGTCAAAATCACAAGAATCATCTATCATCCCCGAGTATGTCACAATCCGAATCAAGGCGTGAAAATTTACGCCAACGACGTTCTCAGATACTACAAGATAAGAAAGAAGATGCCAGAATCCAACTTGTTATCCAGGATAGCATCGGAAAGAACCAATTTTCGAAGCACTTGATGAAGACGTTTCTTGTAATTATTACGGCCCTTTTCTGCACCATCGCCGCAGTCCTCAACCACACTAGGCCAAGGTTCCTAGAACGATTCTGGAAGCAACCTGTACGTCCCTTTCATTTAGCAACAAGGTATCCAAAGAACATAATTCTGGACCGAGATTTGCCTCGATTCTTTGGTCATTATTCGATTGCTACTCCCGAGAACCTTTTGGCCAGACAGGCCGTGCAAAAGGTACTGCGGAGTCGCAAAAAACTGAGGTCGCAAGCAGGTCCGATAAAATCGACTTTGAAGGCCTGGGATGATTCAAACGTAGAACAATTGTTAAAACAAGGTATTTGTGGAGACGAATTCGAGCTGGCATACCGTAGAGAAAGCACCCATCAGGGAGAAAACGGTTTGTTGATGTGGTGTCTTCTGGCGTCGCAGGTTACGGAAGGATTCTTCACAGAATCGGTAGAAATCTTGGATTCTATTCTCGAGCTAACTCGAAACCGTGGTATCGTTGTGCGAAAACAGCCGGCAAGAGGGATAGTAGATGGGTATGATGCGCTTTCGACGACATTTTACTTGCATCCTCGCACCAATCATGATAAGGTCAACTGGATACCCACGAAGATGTTATCTATGTTTATTTCAAGTTCAAACGACGAAAGAGTGGACGATAATAATGAGCTAGCTCAACGAATGTTGTACGAATTGGTCGTGAACCAAGGGAATGAGGAGGAATATTTGATTTTGGAAGAAATCTGTCAAGAAACACCACCGAAGAGATCCATAGCATTTGATACGACGGAGGATCCTAACGGCTGCTATTTTGTTGTCCCAAACAAATATGGAGGAATTTTTGGGCCCGAAGAGGATGAATGAAACCAGGACCAACTCAAGGAGGAAGAGACGATCTAGTCTTTTCCATGGGAAATCCAATTTTGTTTCAACGAATTATTCGAAAGATTGACAAGTTGCATTGTTGCCTTCGCACTGCCAAACACCAAACAAAGTATCCATATCTTAGTGGTAGCTGACAATGTAGAGTGTTGCTTGTTGTGTTACGCCTGCGAAAATGTAGTTGAGCCGTTTAAAACGCTGCCAGAATAAAAAATTCGTAATGCTATAGTATTGTTGTCAAGTTTTGTATGTTCTCGTGACAGTAGACAACGTAACTGCTCATGATCATTCTTCAATGTCCATGCATAAAAATTCATTATGCATCAATGCCTGGCACGAAGAGCTCCAAACCGTTCCCTCTTGCGGTTCTCTCTCGATAAAGTCATCCGAGACGACTTTCAGTATCTATTAAAGCGCATTGCTGTGCACATGCGATATTGTGTTGCTGATGTTCCAAACTCAGTTGCATGCCTCCTGAAACGAATGAGTAGATTTTCATAGACAATAAAGTTTGTTAGGCCTGAGAAAGCAAAAAAAACATGCGTGTGTCGTTCTAAGAAACTCAAGACTCTCCATGCTTCGTCAACATACGGAGAGAACCATCTTCGACTTTTTGTGCATCCATCAACTGGCGGCAACCCAATTAGGAACATACCACCTTGCGTCTCCAGTTATCGGCATCGGGATCAAAGATGAAGTTCATTTCGTTCGTGAATCCAAGGTCGAATATGAGCAAGAAGGCCATGATGGAAAGAACGGACAACCATTGCAGCCACATGACTCCTCCAGTTCCCTGGTGATACGTCGCGAACGTTAAGAACGTAAGCAAGATCATAATGATCACTTGAAGTTTTTGGCGGAGGATCATGGTTGTATTGTTTTCTATTGCACGGGATGGGGGTCACTGATAGGTTCCTCTAGTTGAAGGAGGGACGAAGAGCTGGAGCTACTATCGCGACAACAAAGGATAGATGTAAGCACCGTATCGATGTCCCAAAAGAAGGGGATAGCCGATAGCGTACTCGTAGCTGTAGCACTGGATCGTGCATCCGTTCTCAATCAGTTGCATGCTCTCCTTTTCTGCGCGACAAGGGAGCAGTTTCGACTGGCTAGTTCGGCGAGCGCAGGGCCGCCGTTATATTCATCATCATGAATGAACATTACAATCTTTTTAAAGCATCCAATGATTTTGATCAAATGAGTCGGAAAATGTAAACAGATTGCTGTTGAATACTTCCTCAAGTAGAATTGAATAGAAACCTCCTACCGGTACGATTGTTACCGGTACGTAAATCCCATGTATCCTACGCTCGTTCTCCCAACGTACTGTACTGTAGTTTTGTACTGTACCATACAGTACTTTGTTTCGTACTTCAAACTTTAAGGTACGGGTACTTGGTACATATCGGTACGTACATACTGTAGCGTACTTTGCAATGTAGACTACTAACATGCGTACCGGTACCGGTACGTCCTTCTCATGGAAATTGGTCAAAATTATTTGACCCCCTGAACTAACGTTCTGTACCGTATGAGCGGAATTCGAACGGCCATCATGATAATAATTTTTCATGCGCCCCGTTTTGTCGACTCGTATCTATTATTACCGTAGTTGTTGTACCATTTCCCTTCCATGCATGGTGCTACCGTTCGTTTGATACTGCTACTGCCGTAAAAACATGCTCTGACGAAGGTGAAGAATTTTCATGGTGGTCTTCTTGATAGCAGTGGGCGCATGAAGACGAAGAAAACCCGATACCGTGTTTTAGTTCTCCTCAATTTCATGCTTGAAGTCACTCACACCATACAACCTCGTCGAGCATGAGATTCCGCTGAGATATCTCACGGCGTGGATATAACTTTGACGAAGTTGACCATCGAAAATTTGAAGCAGAGACCGGCGGTGGGGAAAGCATTAGACGCACTTACTTTCGCTGTCGCCAACACCAACGCCGACGCCGACGCCAACGCCAACGCTAGTACGAGCATTACGTGCATCTTATTCATCAGAAAAAGAAACCATGTCGAATTTCGACGCAGATTTTTTCAGAGGCTTGCTTAAGGAAGAGCGCGAAGAGGCCCTCGATTGCCTGGAGGTCGATCTCGATTTGGAAGACGCATTTGTTGAGGCATGCCACGACTATAAAGACGCAAAGAAAGCACAAGACGCCGCGGAATCCGAAGAAGATGCCGGAGCGGCAGCAGCAGAGTTGAAAGAATGCTTTGAGAGGTGTGTAGAAACCGCCAAGCCGATCCTAGATAGCATCGATCTGAAAGAGAATGATCTGGACATGTCACTGCTGCGGACAGCCATGTTGGTACGCGGGGGTCCAAAATCCTTTGCCAAGTTTGCTGATCATGGCGATCTCAATGGGCAGCTCGTCGAAACACTTCTCAACAATAAAAAGATCATGAAGGGCATGATACTAAATGGTGGACCTATGGGCAAGAAGTACGGCAACGCCATGAGGATATACACGCAGATCATGGCTGGGATAGAAAACGACCGATTCCACAAGGTCAACAAAAAGTTGGCCATGGCTGTTGCATTGGAGTTCGCGCATCCCCAAACCGAGTTTGACACCAACGTAGAAATCGATGCACAGAAACGATTCAACCACTATGCAACGGCCCACAAAAAGGGAGAACTCGACCCTGCATTCAGCTATTTTTCTATCTGGGAACTGCGAATGGCGATAAACAGCGATGCTACCAACGAGCAATTGCAATGGGGGAGAGATATGCAAATGACCTACGCACCGCACATTGCCTCGATTTACAACGAGAGGTGGCGGTACGGCTACATGGTGTACACCGATGTAGGGCATCGCGCACCCAACTGGACGTCGTCTCCCCGTACCTACCAGCAACTCCTGAGCGGGGGTGGACGAGAGGGCCCCCGGGCCTGGTTCGGGCGGTTTATTTGCCGCGCCTTTGGCATTCCGGTCTGGGGTTTCAAACAGCACCCGAACAACGTCGGCTTGTCGCGGTGGACGCCCAAGGGTTGGCAGATGGTCTTCGAGCTGCCCGGCTCCGGCTTTGACTCGTGCTACATGGACCAGCGGCCGGCCACGGATTTCATCGAGGAAGCGAACGCGCGATCTGCCAGTAGCGAACAAGAATACTACGAAAAAGTGGTGCTTCTGGATTGCCTCGGAGACGTCTGCAAGGAGAAGATGCCGAAGGACGACGCATCCGGTTCCGTGGACCCCAACCGGATGTGGAGGTCCCTGGCGTTGATCCAGCGAAAACTCTTGGCCGAACGGGTTCGGGACAACCCCAAGTGCTTCGAACGGAAGGGCCCGAGCATCATCAAGTCCAAGATCGAGAAGTACATACAGACCATCAACAAAACGGTTTCTCCCCGCCCTCTCAAAATGGACGACGCCGGCGCCGTCACGGTTCCCGCGGCGTCCTTCGCCGAGTCGAACGGAAAGAAGTATGTGCGAAGCCCACCGTCGTTCGGGGGCGGGAACCAGCTCCACCTGGTCGACGGCGAGGGTTTTGCCACGTACGAGGTGCCGTCCGGGGTGTGCTTCGAGGAGGGCCGTGAGTACGAGTTGTCGGCAAGGGTAGCGACGGTCCACCTGGTGCAGCAGAACCTGAAACTGGAAACCACCGACGGTGGATCCCCCTGCGTCTACGAGATAGAGATTCCGTACACCCTCGGCGAATGGCAGGACACGGAACCCGTCCGGGTCAGGGCCGGGGGTGCCTCCACCCTCAAGATTTTTCGGAAAAAGGCGACCGACTGCTTCGGGCTTGCCATCAAGAGCTTCACCTTCACGCCTTGCTAACAAACGCACGGCACGTTGCCTTCCGAAGGAAACCGACCGACTGTTTCGGGCTTGCAGCCGGGAGCTTCGGCTTCGCCCCCTGGTAGCAAACGTGCAATGCGTTGTGGTTCCGACACTACGGTGCGAAGTCAAGACCCGGTGCTCCCGTCCGCTTTTTTGGGATCGCAGACTCGAGCAACGGTGACAAGGGAAGTTTTTTCGGTAGGAGGTTGGGAGCGAGTGGTTTGAACAAACTCCGTAGCAATACCAATTAGCGAAAAATCTCGAAGCTACATTTCTTAAACTCATTAATTGATTTGGAAAAAAAACATTTTTGTAGGAAATTTTTGTCTCGCTGTCCCACTTTTGAAAATAATTGAGGTGTGCTTCTGCTGCATACTCTCGACGGTAGCGCATCGAAACTACGAAGTCGTCCTATAGCGATGAAAGATGATGAGCAGGTTATACACATTGTGCCATCCAAACCCCGGCCCACTAGGAAATTTCGCAGAATGGCGATAATGAGTTGATGGATTTCGCGTTGCGTCGTCATTGACTTGATGCAATTGCAGTCCTGTTCCTCTTGTTCGCGTGGATATAGTAAAAAATGGAGGATGAGAAAAAATCGGTTCCATCTATCCCAAGTGATTCATTCCTTTTTCGTTGGAAGTGCGCGGAATCTTGTTGTATTGTAGAAATTGTCACCTAGTACAAATTGGAGTTGACTCGAAGCGAAACGGCGTTTTTTCTCCTTGACCGGTTATCCCCCGAGCTAGCATTTGGGACCGAATGATAGTTCCCGTAGTGTCGAACATGATGGTTGCCGTGGTAGCTTTGTGGGTGTGTATGGTGTTGTTGTTGCTGCTGCTGTTGCTGATAATGGTGTTGTTGTTGCTGTTGTTGCTGCTGTTGTTGCTGCTGTTGCTGCTGCTGTTGCTGATAATGATGATTGTAATTGTGATGTTGTTGGTGGTGTCGCTGTTGCAGCTGCGGATGAACAGTTGTGGCATTGTGCGCTTGCGTTTGTACCCGTGCCCCCTGCATTTGCCTTCTTCGCTGTTGCTGCTGCCTCATCATGTGCAGGTTTCCCAAGAGAGAATTCATGGGTTGATAATCGGTGGCATGGGCCACACCATTTGTCGATGCGGCTGTTGCTGTTGTGCTTCTGATACTGCTGCTGCTATCGTTCGGACCCACCGGGGCATTGCCTCGCTGGCAATCCCTTTGGTCGTGCCGGTGCTGTTCGCGGGGGATAAAGGTGGAGTGGTGTGGGAAGGCGGAGGGTGACGCCTGGGCTTCTTCGGTAAGCGAAACCTCGTCGTCCGATTTGCTGTGCAGCAGGGGTCCACTCCGGTCGCCGGCGTCGCAATGGGGGCGTTTCCCAAGCGCGCCGCCGTGGCCCGTACGCTTGAACCGTTTCGAGGCCTGCTCGCACGAGGGATCGCTGGCGAACGCGGCATCGACCAGCGGGAAACCACCACAATCTCTCGCTCGCTTCATCCCGTTCCGAACCTGGGATTGTTGCTGGAGCTGTTCTCCGGGACGGTGGCAAAACGATCGAAGATTGTGGTGCTGGTAATCCATTTCGCTTTCTTGGTCCTGCGAGCAATGAGGACAGTCCGGTGGTGGATGGATTCCTCCGAAAAATTCGAGGATTGTACGACTGCGAACTGTGAACCTCCTCCGGTCGAAACAAAGTTGCTGACACTCGGGGGGGGGGGGGGCGTTTTCAACAAACAAGCCAGAAGTGATGCACGAATTCTCAAAAGTTTTCGAAAGAGGCGAAACGGTAAGAGCGCGACCTGAAAACAACGCGATTGAAAATTGAAAAAATTGCGGAGCATTCGAATCCAACCGAACCTGGAAGTTTTTGGTGGAACGAGCTGGCCCTGGCGAACAGAAATGGTATCCCTTTGTTTCACTGTTAGTGTAAGGTTAGAGTTCATTTCTTGGCATAATAGGCGCGAGCAAACTAAAAGCGTTGGGGTTTAGCGGGAAAGCAAACGTACGAGCTACGAGAAGTACGTACGGTACGTACTACCAGGTACGCCCTACTGTACGGTACAGTTCAAGAACTCGGTTTTGTTTGGGTTTTGATTGCATCAGCACTCGATTTCTATAATCGACTACTCGTAGCAGTCTTTGGTGACAATCCAATCGATTGATTGATTCTAGAATGTCAAGATATCTGAATTGACTTGACTACTTTTGTCGCATATTTGTAGCAAACAAACGAACGAGCAACAAGGAGGCTGTAGTAGTATTTTTACTCTGGTACTAGGCGCTGATGTTTCCTTTTCTGATGCATTTTTCGATAGCCCGATCCAAAAGTCTGTCTATTTTGTGGTTCGCAGCATGGTAGCGCGTGAATGGATCTGCATCGTGGTGCGACATCCGGAATGCAAGCAGAAAATGAACTATGGAACAATAAAATTTCGATAGGACCAGTCAGCTGGCAACCTGTTTCGTCGCGAAACGTGAGATTTTGAAGTGTAGACGATGTGCACAAGCATTCGTGCTTTCCTTTCGGTACAGAGTCCTATTTTAAACGGATTCTTTGTTTATTTGTTGGCTCTTTCGAGAAACGCTCTCTTGCCGGTATCTACTTTGATCATTTCTCCCTGTTCGAGGTATCCCGGAATGGTAACCGTAGCACCACAGCTTAGAAGTGCGGGCTTCGTGTGACCCTGGGCGGTGTTGCCCTTGATCGTGGGTTCTGTTTCGACAATTTCGTAAACTCCGGTACTGGGAACGACAACCTCGATCACATTACCCTTGAAGAAAACCAAAGAAACTTCCATGCCTTCTTCGAGCCAATCCTCTTGGTCATCTACGGTCTTGGCACTGACCGGGACCTCTTCGAATGTTTCAGAATTCATAAAGTAAAAGAGATCCTGTGGTTCGTTCGAATAATTTCGGGTGCGATGCCAGACATGGAGCAAACGAAGGAGGCACAGTTTGGGTTTTGTCGAACATTTTGGTGAGTTGTGCAGAAAAACTGATGGATTGACTCAAAAATTAAGCCAAACAGGTGCAGGATCGCAAATTCAAGCACTCGAACAATCGTCTCGTTTGTCACTTTTCGATGCCCGACTTCTATACTTACTCCGTCGGCGTAGGTATATTGGTGGTCCGATTTTTCGATCAAGGCGGTCTCGAACTTTTCTCCGCTGCGGTATGTGTTTTCAATTGTGTTGCCCTTGATCAAGTTCTTGAACTTAATGGTGGTTTTGGCGGCACCACGAGCTTGCTTCATGATGCTGAAACCCAATACCTTCCATGGCTCACCGTCCAATTCAATGGTCATTCCGTTCTTGATGTCGGACGTGTCGATGGCAACTCCGAGCTCGGTCGAAAATCGGGATCCGGTCACGGCGTTGCTAGGAGCGGAAACTGGTGCGAAACCATTGGTGACGCTGGCCATGGCAAGGGCCATGATTGCAAAGAACGAGAAACGAGCCATTTTTGTGTGTCTGTTTTGGTGATCGATTGCTGTAGATCCGAGAAATTCTGAGAAAGAGGAGTTGCGAATACTAGTAGTCGTTGTCTAATCGATCTTTCGTCGACAGCGCAATTCATCGGCGACTTTCGTATGTTTCTGTAGTATTGACTGGAATTTCAATCTGTACGATTGTACGGTAGTATCCGCCAAAACGTCAGCTTTTTGATGTGTGCGGGTGTTTTCGATGAAAAAAATATTTTTTTACTTCTGTTACCGGTACGATGGTCACGATTGGTTCAATCACTAATACACGCGTAGGGAGTTAGTGAGTCAGTCAGTCTCCCGTATGCTCTGACGTTGTCTCCTACCGCCAGAACTAGTACGAGTACCGGAGCTAAAAAATTGATGTGTGTTTTGAGTGTTCAGGGCTCCGAGACAATTGTTCCACATCACGTTTCTTGCAGAGGAAGAACACAAAGCCGCAGCAGCGGAGTCGTAAAATCGCAAGCAGTTCTTACCGTCGCCACCGATTATCATTAATATCGGCAGCCCCATCTAGCCGAAGCGTTTCAAAACCCCAAAATTCGATACAGTCTTCCTCCACTATGAGGTTCTCTGGCAGGCAGATTTTCTCGGCGGCTCTCTTTTGCACCGTATCGGACGCCTTTGTCCCCCGTCGAAACAATTTCCGAGTGGTCGCGCCACAGACGGACGACCATGCCGCACCACTGCGGGTCCCTTTTCATCCCGATTTTCAAGTGGGAGGCAGGGAACCCATCGTTGCGCTACATGCGAAGAAGAAGAAAGGAAACGCTAAAGCGGCAGCCCTTGACGCGCTCGATGCCCTGGACGATGACTTGAATGCCCCCATGTCGAAAAAAGAACTAAAAGAATTAGAGAAAAAGAAAAAGAAAGAAGAGGCCGCCAAAGCAGCAGCAGCTGTTCGAGAGGAGAAAGCAGCCCCGCCTGCTAAACCAATGAGCAAGAAGGAAAAAATGCTTGCTAAAGCTTTGGAGCTTGAGATGATGGATGAAGCGGCGGCTGCTGCTAAGGGAGAAGAGGACGACAAACCAAAGCTCTCGAAGAAAGAGCTCAAAGCCCTGAAAAAGAAGGAAGAAAAAATGGCAGCCAAAGCGAAGAAGAAAGCAGAAAAAATGGCAGCAAAAAACGCGGGCAGTGAAGGAGAAGAAGGAACGAACGGTGCCGTCAATGGAGACGCAGCGCCAGCCGAGCCTGCTGTAGCCGTTCCCGAGAAGAAAGTAAAACTTACTCTCGAAGATAAGATTCGCAAGGAACGACCTCCTCCTCGAATCCGAGTGATGGAAGGTGCTCAGCCTGGATTTGTGTCGCTTCGAATGGAAGATATTGGAATTACCTTCAGAAACCAAGAAGTTTTGAAAGACGTGACTTGGGGCGTCCAGTCCGGTGAAAGAATCGGCCTTGTCGGTAAAAACGGGGCGGGAAAAACAACGCAGCTGCGTATTATGGCGGGAGAACTTGAACCGACAACAGGTGACGTAGTCAAATCTTCTGGTGATCTTCGAACGGCAATGCTTCGTCAGGAATTCGTCGATGAATTGGTCAAAGAACGCACCCTTAAGGAAGAATTCATGAGTGTATTCGCAGAAGAAAACCAAATTGTTCAAGACCTCAAAGATGCCGAAAACCGACTCGAAACCATGAGCGACGCTGATCCTGAAGAGATGCAAGAAATTCTAGATAGAATGCAAGATTTGCAACAGAAAGCTGAAGACAAGGATGTCTATGTTCTGGAGAGTAAAGTAAAGAAGACTATGGACTTGATGGGTTTCAATGATGATGAAGCAGATGATCTCGTTGCGAGCTTTTCTGGAGGCTGGAAAATGAGGATCGGACTCGGTAAAGTTTTACTGAAGGATCCAAATGTCCTACTACTTGGTGAGTGAAATGCTTTCAGGATAGTTAATTATCGTACCATTGCTACCTGCTACCATGTTTCGACAAACCTGAAACTCACCATTTTTTTCACGTTCCATTCTTGGGCTGCAGATGAACCCACAAATCACTTGGATTTAGAGAGTGTTGAATGGTTAGAAGCATTCTTGCGGGAACAAAGCATTCCTATGATTATTGTGAGCCACGATCGTGAATTTTTAGATCAAGTTTGCACGAAAATTGTTGACGCAGAAGGGGGTATTTGCACAGAGTATGACGGGAACTATTCTCGTTTCCTTCAGTTGAAAAAGGCTCGCATGGACTCCTGGCAATCAGCATACGATGCCCAAGAGAAAAAAATTAAGTCAGAACGTCAATGGATCAATAAATTTCAGGCAAAACAACCTCAGGTTGTAAAACAGAGAAAAGACAAGCTAGAGAAGTTCATGAAAAGTGATGAGTATGTGCAAAAACCTCCATTTACGGGCAAGCCATTTAGATTCCGTTTTCCTCCTGCTCCTCGATTGAGTCCTGAAGTCGCGCAAGTTGATGAGATGAGTCATTCTTACGAAAACGAAATTTCGAACAACCGTCTGTTCGACAAGGTTGATTTATCTATCGAGAAAGGGGATCGAATTGCAGTCGTAGGGTGAGTGAATAAGTATCATGGCTGTCATTGTGTTGTCACGTTTGTTGTAATAGTGGCATTCATAATTTGTGATGTACGTCATCAATTATCCAACACACACGTTTTAACCACGTTGTTATCGCATTCTGTGTTTCAAAAATCGTTTATATCTCTTTAGACCGAACGGAAGTGGAAAGAGCACATTTCTTCGTCTTTTGATCGGAAGAGAAGAGGCTGACGAAGGCTCTGCTCAGATTGTTGGTCAAAATGTAGAAATGGCTTATTTCGAACAAAATCAGGCTGATGCATTGGACTTAGATAAGACTGTGATTCAAGTGATTCAGGGTGCAAGCAACGGACAATCATACAACGAGCTCCGTGCCCTCCTGGGACAATTTCTTTTCAAAGGCGATGACGTAGAAAAGAAAGTGGAATTTTTGAGTGGTGGTGAAAAGGCGAGACTTTCTCTCTGTTGCATGATGCTTCGATCAGCAAACCTTCTCATCTTAGATGAACCGACGAATCACTTGGGTAAGTATTTCTGGTATGTGGTGAAGCTGATCCGATTTCGGCTGTTGACTTATCAAAATTTATAATTTTCTAACTTTTCAAATTTTGCACGATGACCACCCTGAAGATATCCCTGCCAAGGAGATGCTTGAAGAAGCACTTCAACACTTCGATGGGTCAATCATGGTTGTTTCGCACGATCGATACTTCATTTCCAAAGTCGCCACAACAATTGTCGCCATCGAAGACAAAAAATTAACCAAATATCAAGGGGATTACAAGTTTTACATGGAGAAAAGTAAAGCTATCAGAGAAAAAATAGAAGCCAGGTACGTAAAGGGTCTTGATCGGATCGGCAGCGCACCGGAAATTAATCTCGAGGAGCTCATCAAGCCGAAGAAGAAGAATTTTGGAGGAGCAAAAACCGCAAATCAGGTCACTCGAAAAAATAAGGGTGTAAAAAATGCTAAAAGACAACAGCAGAGATAATTCAAGTAGTAACAACGAAAATGTAATCAGATCGCAGTTTCTACCCAACCGTTTGATTCCCATAAGTATATTAAGGGTCGGGAGATCGATATCCTCCAAGACAAAAACAAACCATGGGATTGGCATAACTAGTGAACCATGGAAGCCAAGAAATCTCCTACACTGAAGAAATATGAGATATCAACGTCTCATAGAGAGTAGTAGAAAGCATATCCATTGCGCACTGCTGGTATCTCCAATAGACAATCTTCTTCATAGATCATCTGTGACGTATTGTATGTCAGAGATTGATTTGGGGTCACCCACAATCCAGTATACAAAATATATTGTTTATGCATAGAAATACCATACATTATGTAACAATAACGACAAAACAAAGAACAAAACCAGCTTAGTAGGACAGTCACAGACCMTTTGTTCCACAAAAGTAAACCCCAACAGGAAGAAAATTAGCAATTCCTGATCAGTATATAGAGCCCTAGTTGAAGCTTGCGCACATCGTACCCAAGAAGAATGTTTGGGATAAAATGTTTCCTTCTTAAATTATAGGCTCTGATTCAACTTCCTCCATAGTAGTATGGACCACTAACAGAAATATTTTGAGACTTGTTGCTTGTTTTGGTGGGTGGAGGGAGGAAGGGGAAATCAATAGGAAAGTGGGGAATTGATGGGGCCATTATCTGGTCTATCTAAGTACTTGTCTCTTTTTGTCTGGCTCAAAGAAAATCACTCTCTGTTGTTTTCTGGTGAATAAATTGAATCTATTATGTCTTCATCAAGTACTGTACCAAGTACCAGACACAAGATAATCATCTGTAAAATTACACGTGGAATTAACACAAAAATCAAGCCATCCACTGCCTTTTCTTGTAACTTTGCCACCAGACTATTACTACTAGTAGTAGTATTTGGTGCTTAGTCTGCTGGTGATCTAGAGTTATTTTTTGATAAAGTTCTGTCCTATTTTGTAAAACAGCCAGTCTCTGAAAACAGCAATATTTGCCCATGCTGGTGGTGACTCTTAATGGAGACAAACTGGCTCCCTACTCCTGCTTGTCTATAGTAATTGTGTCATGAGAACAAGAAGTAAGAATGACACAGGGCAATTGTCATACTATGTCACACAAACCATTATAACATCATTCAGATATGTTTCATAATTGCTCAAAGAATCAAAGTCAATCTATTGATTTCCCTTGTGCCATTGCCAACATTCTTTCACCAACAAAGAAACTATGCTGTTCTTATTGATTCTGCTCCAAGGTTTCCTTTTCTTAGTTGCCTGCTTTCTAATTTTCTCTGCTGTTCAACAAATATCTCTAACAAACCAATTTCCTTTGTATCCCATCTGTATTATTACTATATTTCCATCATTTGTTTGTTGTTTGTCATGAAATAATATTTTAGTAATTTACAAAATTATACTGACATGCCTAACAATTCCTCCACATCTTTGAAGATACTTGCATCCCACACTTCCATGACATTGAACTTCAATTCCTCTTCTGTCTTTCCTCTCTGTCTTCACCCATGATTTCTCTATAGCCTGCCATTGATGCCATCTCAATGGTTCTTGTACTTTCTTCTGCTGCTCTTCTTTTTGTTATATCTTTCACAAGCTTCTTTCTGAACAATATATGTCCCTGCAGGCTCCAGCCTTTCTTGCTTCTGATCATATTGTCTGTGAATCGTTTTTGCATTTTCTTTCTGTTTCCTGAATTATTCCAAGACTTGTAGTCATTGAACAAGAACAGGAGTGCAAAAGCCTTGTCCGTTACACTGAATATTTCACTCACTGTGTTCTTGTGTCTTTTCCTCTTGAAGTTGTTTTGTTTTGGTGATACTGCCCCTAATATCTGTCTCACAAAGTACTCAAACTTTTTTGTGTTCTTTCTTCTGTACTCTGGGTTTAACATGAATGACAAACCATCTTGCCTTTTTGTTATGAATCATTTTCCCATGAAAGTAGGCAGAACAACACCATTATTTTTTGTCATCTAAACAAATGAAGGAGGGAAAAAAATTGTTAGACCAAATTATTGTGCTAATGGGTACTATACATGCAGCACCTTGCTTCTTACCACCATTGTAGTTTTTGGAAGCCAGTGTCTATGCATTATGTCTGCATGCAGTTACTGCCCCATTGATTGTTCCAGCCCAAAGAATGGCAGACATTACTAGGCCCTCTGGTGGACTCCCCCCCCCCATACTTTCCTTTACCTGTTTTTCCACTAGCTATGTTTTCCGTGACATTATCCTTTACCCAAAACTGTTTTTGCTTGAACAAAACATTCCTTAGTAGGTAGTTAGTCAGTGTTTGTTTCCACAAGGTCTCTACATGGCCCAGCAGTCTTATGTCACTAGCAACAACACTCCTGTTCTTCATTCTGTCGAACCATGTGCAACAAAGACATGTTTGTTGATTTGCTGTAGATGAAATGAGAAAAAAATTTCTGTAACACACATGTCAAAATAGTTTTTTAGTAGTAATAACCACTTTCTTTTGTTAGTCATTACTTCTGGCTATTAATTGACATATCACACCCACTTGCGCCTCATGTATCTGAACCTTGGTTTACCTAAGCTACTTAAACAAAAATTATAATGTATGTAACCCAATGCTTCCCTAGTAGTAATAGGCAAAGGCATCTAGATCAAAATAATGTGAAAACCATACTGTCCGACACAAAAATTTCAGTGTTGGTAGCAGTGATGGCATGTGTGAAAGGGGCGCAAACTTTTACCCGCCACTCCTTTTTCCTTGCTAGCGCGCTAACTTTTTCTGTGTGTCAATAATTTTCTGATGCATCCCTCCTCTTTCCTGTGGGTTTCAGTAGGTTTTCAACAACATGCAAAATTTAGTATGCATGTAATTCCACTTCCTCAAAACTAAATACGGATTTACAAATACAGAGTGAGCTCATTCACTATTTAATCGTGATTTAGTTGATTAACTGTCCGATGGTTACTTCAAATATTCAAGGTATGAATGTACTTTTCCCACCCTTGCAATGCTGGTGATGTTCCCCTCACTATACACCTATTGTTAAACATATTCCTAATGAACAATCTGGACTCTAGTAGATCCAGCAAAGGATATGATCAGTACATTGTTGTCCCAAAATCCAAGTTTTAAAAACGTCTTAGAAGTTACAAGTTTTCAGCAAGATGGAACGCATTTCAAGAAAAATTGGACAAAGAACATGTTTCTACTTCCTCCAACATGTCAAACAAGCTGGAAGAGATGGGTAGTCTTGTATCTGTGAGAACCATGATCAAGTACATGAATTCTGTCTGGAACCTTTTTGAATGGTACTTTTATTACTTCAACTTTCCTCTATCACTGGATACAACAGAAGCTTCTCTTACCACCCCATGGAAGGGAGGTACACAAAAAAGTGTGATGATTACGTTGACCAAATGGAGAAGTTTCTTTGCCAATCTTGTTGGTGATATGGCCCTCTGGAAGTTGGTAGGCAAGGACACTGTGTCAAAAATCATGTGGTACCAAAATAGATGGGATTATCTTTTCAAAAGTAGGATGTCAAGGCTATGGCCGGTCCATACCTAAAGTCTACAACCAATTATCTGAATTGAATGGGTTGTTGGCTTCAGTCCTTGTGGCAAAACTTAAATTCAACCAATGGCACCAAGGCCTTCATGTCCCTTTCCCTTTAGCACTGTCATGAATCTGTGTTCACCTACTATGAGAAATTCCACATGTACTTTCTTCCCAAGTTAGCTTAGTGCAGCTTCATTGTTCCCAGGAAAAGGGATAATGCAGCCCTAGCAGACATGATTTGTAAATTAGACCATGCTGACGTAGTCCATGGACAAATAGTGTTCCCTTACAAGAAGAAGCCCGTGTTATCGATGCTCCGCAAGTACCAATCGAAGGTCACCACCAATTACTATGACATAGAAATTTTGCATGGAGACACCCTCCACATTTGTCTTTCCGCCACCTCAGAATCACGTGGTAAATTCATTTATCTGTTCCCAAAAGTTACAGGGATGTCTTGCAGTTGCTGTCTCAGTGGTGGACCATCGAAGACCTGTGGGCTTCTCATCAAGGAGGAAAACACCCCCAACTTACTAGAAGCTTTGACCAAATAGCCGGGATTATTGACCATGGTTACATGTTTAATGCCACTTTTGACGATGACCGGAAAAGGGATCAATTCAATGCATCTCTTTTGGGTAACCAACCACCACCAAGATACGAATTTCTCTACAACAAACTGACCCAACAAGAAGAACTCTTCTGAACTAGTACTAGTACTAGTACTACTAGTAGTAGTACTAGTAGTAGTAGTAGTACTAGTATGACTGAGCATATTTCTAAAGGGGAGGACATTAGAGGCCTTTCCAGAGCTGTTGGTGTGATAGCCCATCAAACTGTTTGTGGTCAAAAAATTGATAGAAAACTAGTAGATCTATGTAGGATCCATTACTTAGTGCACTTAGTAATCATGCTTGGCTTCAAAATTTAGTAACCGAGATTTCACCTCAAATAATTTTTTGCCTGTACCAGTATGTAGTTTTTCCCATGTAGGGGGTGGTAAGTTTTTTTACGGTTAACGCATTCTATTGCCGTTCACAGTAACCGGTGGTACTTGGTACTGTACAAACGAACAAATAGTGCAAGCATTGAAATACGAGTTCATACCCTCCTTTCGAGGATCGAAAACTGACGAAGAGCTACTACAATCATCGGTAGCAGCTCTTGATCTCTTGGATCAGTACACTATGTCATCTTGGGATTTGTCGTCAAAATCAAGACGATTCGGATCGATCTCCCGCAGCGCAAGATCGTTTTTCAGGTCTTCTTCTCGATCATCTTCTCGATCAGGATCTAGGAATAGTAGTGTTAGGTCGGCGGTATCGAGCGATGACGGAATAGACCACGCTTACGATACGGCAACCAAAAAAACTATCTATCTGATACGACACGCCGAGTCCGAAGAAAACGTACATATGCATGGGATGCAAGAATTGGGAACATCATTGGTTGGAGGGCGGGTGCCGACCTCAGAGAACCTGAGTAGTAGTTTGAAATTTATTGGAGGAGTAGCCAAGGGCGACATAGATTCCAAGCTTTCGGAAGGAGGCAGAGAACAAGTCAAGGAACTTCACAGTGTATTGAAATCCGATGGAATGGAAAACATGAGTTCGGTAATTAATGATGTAGACATCATTGGCCATAGTCCGTTGGTTCGTGCTAGGGATACGTGTTATGGCGGTTTTGGTCTGCACACAAACGGGGTCTGCGAGAACGTAGTAGAATTGAAGTGTCTGGAAGAAGCAACTCCGTGGGAAACTGCTGTGCAGGGACGAAAGAAAACTGTACACAAGCGCATCGATGAGCTACAAAGATGGATTGACAACCAGACAGATGCAACAACAATCGCACTGGTAGGCCACAGTGAATATTTTATGATCATGCTTGGTATAAGTAGGGCTGAAAAGTTCTGGAATTGTGACGTCTGGAAAGTTGAGTACGCTGCCGGAAAGTGGACTGGCCTGACGCTCAAACATAGGTTGACGTCTAGTAAGCCAATGGGCGTTTTCTGAACACTGCATACTTGTACAGAAGAATTTAAATTAGTTTTTACTACTAATAGTTGCTTTCGGTATCTTAAAAATATGGATAGAAGTTAGTTGCTGAAATGTGTTGAGATCTCACTTTTCACTACAGTGAAAAGAGGCTCGTTGCTGTAGGAAGCATTATATGCATAACTGCTTCTCGCGTCCCTCTTCGACCAATTCAAACCCCCGTTCATAATATGTATCAACCTGCTCTTTCAGCTGCGTGTACAAATCTTTGGCACCCAGTCGTTCCCTGGGATTGCGCTTCCAACAATTTTGAAGAATTTGTTGGATCGCTGGTCTCCAGTCTCGTTTGAGGGGTGGTCTATCGTTCTTTTTAATTACTTTCTCGCGATGCTCTTCTTGGCTCATCTTCCCAAAGGCTTTCTCTAAAGCCACTAATTCCCAGAACAAAACAGAAAATGAATAAATATCCGCGCTTAGGTTGTATGGCTGTCCTAAAGCAACCTCTGGTGCCATGAAACGCCTCGATCCTGTCCCACCCGACATTTCGTACATGCCGTCCCCTGTTTTCTGCAACGGATCCAATTCTTTCGCTAGACCAAAATCAAACAGTTTGACGCGCCCCTCAAAGTTAAAGCCTACGTTGTCAGGTTTCAAGTCGCTTTAGTAGATTTCAGGACATGGTTATAGTTTGCGAATATGGTATTGCCGTTGTGTTATTGTGGAAAAAAGCAAATATGACAAAAGTTTTTAGTCAAATTGCAGTACCATTTCAATATCACGATGCTACCAAGCTATCGCCCACTTTGGAAATCTACAATACCAACAACAACATTTCAAAAGTAGCACCACAGTATAATAGTACCACAATGATCCCTTACCGAAATACGATCTTCAGGCTATGCAAATGCCGAATGGCGCCACAAATATCGGTAGCAACGTGCAATCGCTGCAAGAACATCGCCTGAAGGAGTTTGACGTTACTCGGAGACGGATGTCGAAGCTTTCTTCGCTTGAGTTCTTTCCAAATGTCGATGCGTTTATCCAACGTATCGTACAACCTGTCCACCACTAAAAAATATCCACCCATTTGACCGGTAGCAAAGCCAGCTGCTCCAGCGGCTGCCACGCCATGCAAGCTTATGATGGATGGGTGAGGATGGTTGCTTATGGCACTTAAATATTTGGCCTCCAAAAGTAAGTCTGCTGCGCCGTTGCAAAATTCGTTGGAGTTGGACATTGCAGACTCATTCAGAAACTTCACAGCCAGTAACTTCTGGTCGATGTTTTGTGTGACGAAGGATCGCTGTTTCCGCTGGTCGTCATTGACAGGAGACGTTTCGTCGAGTTCAATCTTTTCGAGTTCGTAAACGCTGTTGAACCCTCCCTTCCCGAGTTTGTCGCCTAAATATGGCATGATTTCATCCCGTTCAAAGTAGGGGACGCAATCCTTCTTGAGATCCTTGATTAAGGAAGACCGCTTAGTCATTTCTTGGCAAACCCGGGTTGCATAGCGAGATGCCTTCTGGCATACGTCCAAATCCAATGGAATCATCCTTCAAAATCTATGTTTCGCGACAGCTAATTTTTCTTCGATGAAAATTAGAAGAATCTGCTTTCAATGCTAATAATCTTTCTCGGTTGAATTAGGTTCGTAGTTCACAGCATTTACAACAATAGTGGTAATGAATGCTTAGAAGATTGCCCTGGTCTGTGCGATAGCCATCGTGGAAAATATTTCTTGATCCATACCAAACTACGAGTACGATACTTGTACCTGTAGTAAAGTCCCTGTACCCATGGTCCTCGTATGTACCGCGTGCTTCCTTTCCCACATTCAGCCTTCCGGAAAGCTGCTCCTTTTGAAAAAAAGGCATATGTAGGCTAGCGCGCGGCGGTCGAGCTGATATTCCGTAACGACTAGATCGACTAAAACAATATTTTTGGCACAATATTTCGAAAATCCAAAATCCAAGACGTTATTCGGAGGACTTTTAACCCATTTCCTTGTTTTACAAATGACATAAACTCATTTCCTTGCATATTTCCGTTTTTAGTGRATTGTAAACTCATTTCCTTGCATTCCACCATTTTGTAAACTCATTTCCTTGCATTATCTAAGTAATAAAAATTCCGCCATTAAATAACAGGAAAAACCAATGCATCACTTAGGAGTTTGACGTTAAACAACAGGAAACTACCGAATACAGTGTTGAAATACAAGACAAGAGCCAATGACCATGGTGCTTGTCCTCCTTGCAATACAAAAAAAGAATGAAAATAGGAGAGATAGTATTGGTACTAGTGTTTTATCCCCTCTGTATCATATCGTATCAGCAACTCGTATCAGCGTCCTCTGTATGAGCGAATCATCGTCTGTACCACTCGTATCAGCATCTTCTGTATCAGCAAGTCTCTCATGATGGATCTGCACCAATACTGGTGTAATCATACACCGTAATTGTAGCTAGACCTACTCCTCTGTATCAGCAAGTGTCCTTTGTATCAGCAAGCGTCCTCAGCAACTCGTTCCGTATTGGCGTTCTCCGTATTGGCATTCTCCGTGTCAGCAAGCGTCCTCCTTATAAGCATCCTCCATATCAGCAACGCTCTGTATCAACGTTCTGTATCAGCGAGCCTCTGTAGTATCAGCATCCTCTTTAGTATCAGCATCCTTTGTAATAGTGGCTTGTAACAGAGCATCCTTCATAACAGCGACTCGTAACAGTGACTCATAACAGCATCCATGTCAGCATCCTCCTCCGTATCAGCGACTCGTATCGGCATTCTTCGTATCAGCGTTCCGTATCAGCCTTCCGTATCAGTGTTCCGTATCAGCATTCTATATCAGTGTTCCGTATCAGCGTTCCGTATCAGCGTTCCGTATCAGCATTCCATATCAGCAACCTCCGCACCTTGTCATCATTCCCAGCATTCTGTTGCATCACCAGTGTTCTGTTGTACCATCACCAGCGTCCTCCAACCATCGTGGTTCTTGGTCTTTTGGTTGTTGCTTTGTTGAATTTATGACTGTCTTGTGGTGTACTGCGTTGTGGTGGTAGCATTGGTTTTTCCTGTTGTTTAACAGCAGAATTTTGATTACTAAAAGAATGCAAGGAAATGAGTTTACAAAATGGCGGAATGCAAGGAAATGAGTTTACAATTCACAAAAAACGGAAATATGCAAGGAAATGAGTTCATGTCATTTGTAAAACAAGGAAATGAGTTAATTCTCCGAATTTGTAAAACAAGGAAATGGGTTAATGGTCTGTTATTCGGAGAATTAACTCATTTCCTTGTTTTACAAATGACATAACTCATTTCCTTGCATATTTCCATTTTTAGTCAATTGTAAACTCATTTCCTTGCATTCTCTAAGTAATCAAAATTCTGCCGTTAAACAACAGGAAAAACCAATGCTACCACACCATAGTACCACCACCAACCAGTCATAAATTCAAAAAAGCAACAAACAAAAGACCAAGAATCACCATGGTTGGAGGAGGACGCTGGTGATGCTACAGAATGCTGGGAATGCTGACAAGGTGTGGAGGTTCTGATACAGAACGCTGATACGGAGGATGAGTTGCTGATACGAAGGCTTGCTGATGAGGACGCTCGCTGATACGGAACGCTCATACGAGTTGCTGATACGGAGGATGCTGATACAGAGGTCGCTCACTGACAAGGAGGACGCTTGCTGATATGGAGAATGCGGATACAGAAAATGCTGATACAGAGAATGCCAATACAAGTTGCTGATAGGAGTCGCTGATACGGAAGATGCTGATACGGATGCTGTTACAAAGGATGCTGATACGAAGGAGGTTGCTCATACTATCTCTCCCATTTTCATTCTTTCATTTGTATTGCAAGGAGCATTATGGTCGTTGGCTCTTGTCTTGTTGTATTTCAACACTGAATTTGGTAGTTTCCTGTTGTTAAAGTCAAACTCCTAAGTGATGCTGCACTGCACGAGATTACGTGTACTCTTAGTAGGTGTTAAGTGTGTATAAAAATTGAAATTATAAGATTAAGATTCTCGCGCTCCGACGTGAGCTTTCAGTAGACCTGATTAGATCCTGTGTAGCTCTCGGTACTAAATTTACACAGGTTCTTATTATTCTGATCTACTGACGTCTTTGTTCCGTGCGAGGTATTCTATTTCTGATATCGTGGACCTCTTACGTTTCAGTGTTCGGTCCTCTTATGATGCATACCTAGGAGTCATACCCTACGATAGGTACGTAGGAATGGTATGATCCTTCATTTCTTTCTTCGAAGCTTCGTATCGTACGTATACTTCAGATACAGTACGTATGTATCCTTTCCAGTACGTACGTATCTGTTGCATGCACAACAAGTTATGTGTACTCTTAGTATGTTTAGTGTGTATAAAAATCGAAATTATAAGCTCCGATTAGATCCTGTGTAGCTCTTGGTACTGAATCTACACAGGGTTCTTATTATTCTGATCTATCAACATCTTTGTTCTTTGCGAGGTAATCTATTTCTGATATCTTGGACCTCTTAAGATCCTTGGACCTCTTACGATGGATCCTATGATATATACATAAGAAAGGTACCTTACGACACATATGTAGGAATGGTATGTTCCTTCATTCCTTTCTTCGAAGCTTCGTACCATACGTATACTTCCAACCAGCTTCTTTCTTCTTTGCACCTCAAGTGACTCATCGACGTTCTTCCCAACTTGCGTCTTGCATCTCCAGCATTGCTTCCACTAAGAGGGAATCGCGCCTCCGTTGCTTCCACTCCTTGCCTCGCGCCTCCGTTGCATTCAACAATCAACCAGCAACAGTTGCGTCGTTGCATGCCTTTATTTGCCACTTGTTGTTTTAACTCACTTTTCCCCTCCTTGATCCTTTCTAAAGCAAATCAAACACAGACGACACGATGATTACGGACGCAACGATGATTACGGATGCAACAATGATTACGGATGCAACGATGATTATGGACGCAAGGCAACTCCTAACTGCTGAAGAGACTGCAGATGCAGCCTCACTGTCTTCAGCAAGCAGCGATTCAAGTGGTGGTGACTCCTCAAGCAGCGACACGTCTCCAAGTAAAAAGCTGAGCAAGAACTTGACAAACAATCAGAGACTCGCCATTGTTCAGTATCTTTTGCAGCATCATCAAAGAAGCTCCACTGGAAAGTTGGTTCTGGAAATGGGAGCCCTCAAGGAAGCAGCATCAACCTACGACGTATCAATCAGGACAATCGCAAGGGTTTGGAAAGGGTACAAGCAAACTGTGGATCCTATCACTTGCCCTGCTGGTGATGTGCTATCTAGGAGACCCAACTCTGGTTGCAAACTCAAGCATGGAAGGATTGGATGAGGCTGTAAGGAATGTTCCGCTGAAAGATCGAGGTGACCTAAGAAGTCTTTCTGTTGCTACTGGAATTCCTAAGACATCTCTTCTTCGTATGGTCAAGCGTGGCAACATTAAAAAACCCAACGGGAGTACCAAGCCACTACTAACACCTGCAAACAAACTCAAACAAGTTGAATGGATATTGAGTCACATTGATGCAAGTAGTGGAAGATTCAACGATTGGTTCAAGTGGATTCATATCGATGAGAAATGGTTTTACTTGAAAAGGACTACACAAACAACCTATCTGCTTGCTGATGAAGATGAACCCAAGTCTACATCAAAGTCTAAAAACCATATGACAAAGGTTATGTTCTTGTGTGCCATAGCACGTCCAAGGTATGATTTGCGCCGCAATGCTTGGTGGTTTGATGGAGAAATAGGGATCTGGTCTTTTGTGGTTAAAGAACCGGCAAAAAGAAACTCTGTCAACCGTCCAGCAGGAACCCTAGTCACAAAGCCACAGAATGTAAACGGTGAGGTCTATAAGCAAAAGTTTCTTGAAGAAGTGCTTCCTGCAATTTCATGAAAAGTGGCCACGAGGAGCAGACGGGAATCCTCCTCCTGAGATTTCATTCAGGAGGACAATGCGAAGCCACACAAGCCGTCAATCAGAGACGATGTCGCAAAAGCTGCAGAAAGCAATGGGTGGAATATTCGTGTAAAACCTCAGTCTCCAAACAGTCCAGACATGAACGTTCTTGATCTTGGATTCTTCAATTCGATTCAAAGCTTGCAGTACAAGAAAAGATCCAAAGGGATTGATCATTTGATTGAAAATGTAAAGCAAGCTTTTGATGAGTGCAAGCGTGAAACATTGAATAATGTGTTTTTGTCTCTGCAAGCTTGTATGCAAGCCTCACTTGTTGTTGGAGGTGATAATAACTACAAGCTTCCCCATCTTGGAAAAGCAAGCCTGATGTGTGCAGGTGTGCTCCCAGTTTCGATTATTTGCAAGCCTGATTGCATTGCAGCAGGAAGGCAAGTTCTTGCTGCCGCTGCTGCTGAGGAACAACAAGCATAATAGTGATAGTAACAAGTAGTTATAATAAGAGTAATAGTGACAAAGGAAGTTCCTGGTAATGAATGTACACAATCCTACATAGACCCACCTGTAATGACACATATTCAGGACCAGTAAAACAGGGACACAATGACACATATAGTGGACCGGAGGAAGTACGCGATAGTACGAGTACGCACGGTAGACCCGGTACTGTACCGTACGTACGTACCGTACTCTTAGCTTAGCTTACTCTACTAGTGCCAGATGATGTTTTTTGTACAAGATGTCTAATCCATTATCAACAATCACATATTCATCATCACTGTTACAATCACAAGTTCAAACATTGCACCAATCAAAGAAACAATCGTCTGTCGTCATATTACAATTTATCCACTACGAAGATCCCACGTGAAAGAGATATATAGGTGCCAAAAAAAGAAGCTCAAGTGACGAATTAGAAATGCAGAGGACCAAGAGAAATTGTCCGTGCTGTTCCTTCGATTTAGATCTATTTTTACCAGATTCGGAAAAGAAAGGGGTAAAGGAAGAAGATAAGTGCGACGAGGATGATATTGATTCTCCACTGCTGTCGTCACCACCGAACATTTCTGAAACGTTCGATCGGCTCGTGTCTGCATCCAGTGGCGTGGAAAATGAAGGCGGATCACAAATCATTATCGTAGACACCCACGGACACGCACAGCTAGATCGAGGACGAAACAACGTGTACGAGTTGCAAATAGCAAGGAACGAAAACAGTGTTAATCACGAAGAAAGAAAAAATGATTTCGGCAGTCGGAACGAAAATTTCCATGTCAAGACACTGGCATGTTCCGTCGAACCAGCCGATTTTGGCATCACCTTGAAGTACGCCGCCACATCGGATTCTATATTGCCGGCACTGGGCGTTCATCCGTGGTACATTGAAAACCTTCCCAACTTTGCATCAATGACATCGAGGAATATTGACGGTAGTCACGGCGATGATCCGGAAAATATCGACGATTTCGACGAAATTGATTCAGAATGGTTGTTGCCGATGGAAAAACTTTTAATCGAACATCCAAATTGTTTAGTGGGCGAAATCGGTTTGTGCAAGATAGCTAAATGGGTTCGAACACATCCCGACGGGAAAGCAAGAGCAATGGGAATTCAGAAACGAATTTTCAAAAAGCAAATGATACTGGCAGCAAAGTTACGTAGACCGGTTTCTGTCCATTGTGTGAATTCACATGGTATATTTGTAGCTGCAATTAAAGAACTGGTAGAGATGCAGAAAAATGAGGAAGACACGGCACGAGCTGCTGACAATGAAAGACACAGTGGCAGCCGTAGGTTTCTTCTTCCAACAGTCATAGCAATGCATAGTTTCACGGGAACTGCCCACCATGTGAAAGAGCTGTTGGAATTAGAAGATCAGATTGATTTTCCAAATGATAGGTTTCGGACAGCGATGGGGAAAAAAAAGGTACCAAAGGACAAAGAAGAGAAATGCAGCAGAATCATGAAAGCTCCGTTAACGTCAACACGACCGCCGTTGTTTTACTTCGGATTTTCACACACAGTAAACTACGCCATGTGTACTTCCGAAAAGTCTCGCAAGAAAGGGGTAGAAGCCGTACAAGCGGTCCCGCTCAATAGATTGCTGGTTGAATCTGACGTACACTCGGACGCTGATGTTGCCGGTGGGACTATTGGTGCAATATCGTATGTTTCGTGGGCACGTGACATCCATCCAAGAGAAATCGCATCGGCGACAAGCAAGAATGGATCAGTCTTCCTTGGATCAATAGGTTCTTCAAATGGGTTTTAAATAGGTGCATTTATAATTTTTCTACGGTCCCCCGTATCGCTCACTATCACCAGGCATCCCAAATTTGCTACCATCTGCTACTTCTACAGTCGCAATCAGGTCGCCAAACGGAGGGAGTCCGGTAGCACGTCGAAGAATTTTTCCATTTTTCTTCACCGTAATGGTAATCCCCTTCTCTAGTACATCGAAACCCTGGTTCGTTGCGGTTTTAATATCAGTGTTCAGATAATCGATCCATGCGTTGGGACCCTGTGGAAATGCAACAACATCGTTAGCCCTATTGATGTCAAAATTGCGATCGTTTTCTGTAACAGTAGCTTCCACTCCGTCTCTCCAAAAAGCACGTGAATCACCGACAACAATATTCCCGTTTTTATTCTCTAAAAGGAGAGGAACAATAACGAAATCAATCTCGAGTAGCTTCTCAGGAAGGATATTTGTATCCTTCAACTGGTCGGAAGCTAGAGATTTAGCTAAAGCAGATATGTAACCTTTCCCTCCTGCCGCAATTAGGACACGATTCGTGCGTCGATAGCTTTTCACTTCTAAGAGCTGGCGCTTGCTATTGGCAAGACGAGCTGCTGGCTCAACCACCAGACTAGCTAATTTCCCAGCGCGAGCAATTTTTTCCAAATTTTTTTGGCCATTTTGGAATTCGCGGTAGGTGAAGAATCCGCAAACAACCAGAGCACCAAAGTTGATTGCATCTGATGTGAGGGCTTCGTCCAATGGAATGGCATCTGAGTAGCCTCCTACCGCTGCTTTGACAGTACTCAATGCAGAGAAGTACAGGGCAATCAGAGCAGACGCAAAAGATCCTGCAAATGCTGCCAGCCGCACTTTGCGAAAAGGAGAGTCGATTTCTTCTCTGAGGCGTTGCTTCAGCGTGTACCCTCCTTGGGTAGGCTGCGCCAGATAAATATCGTTGGATTGATCTGTTTCAACCGCACTTCCTTCTCCAACTTTGTCCTCTTTTGTAGTAGGTTCAGCATGAAGAACACCGTTCCCTTGACAACGTCTGCTGAGAGACGCCATGCCACATTCCTTGCTGGCAAATGACGACGCGGAGTGACATATGGAGAGAAAGAACACTAAATGGGTAAAGATATACATCTTGTGGTATGTCAAGGTTAGTCCCTTCTGGTTGACAAAATTTGTGACCGAAGTTGGTAGCAGCGCTAGTTGTAACTATTCTTCGCTTGTCTTCGTCTCAGAAACTAATAGGATGGAGAACGAGGCTATCCGTTGTCTTTTCTGTCTCTTCGATGATGATTATTTTCTGGTTGTCGTGTTCTCTTTCTGATACGAAATGAGGCTTTCGGTGAAACATGTTTTACTTCGTCAGCGTTCTGACGTGAGTCCCATGTGTAGTCCCGAGACACGGATTGGTCGATGCTGAGGTGAATCGAAGCATGTCTAAGTGCAGTTGTTCCTAACTGCTCTTAGCCTGAGTTATTGTAGCCTTGTCTTTCCGTCTTCCATTATTGCTCCTGCTTGACTGGTGCCACGAGACATTCTGGGCCTCTTGGTACCTTGGTACCGTATGGTTGTACTCCTGGGGTCTAGGAGTTCTAGATCTAAGTGGTCAGTTTTTCGAACTTTCATAGTGTTTGCTGAAATTAGGATTTGACTCATTTTTACTGCATAATACTAGTAAAACTATCCAACCTTTAAGCAGTTCCAACATTATCACCAAAAATACTGCCATTAGAATTTTTTAGTACACTGTCTAGCCCACCAATTTTTCATGAGGATTCTGAATATGCCAATATGTTATGTATCAAATGAAATGATAGTGTACCTTTTCACTGTTGAATATTGACTAGATTACTACTAGTATAAATTACTACTGGGGAATTAGGGGGAGAAACAGATGAACGACAGACAGTCTGAATTTTTGTTAAGGACTAGACTGGTKGGACTGACTGGACAAAGGACAGACTATTTCTACTGCAAATACAGTACTAGTCTGTTTCTACCACCAGCCCTGTATCAGCAACTTAAAGTTTGAACTGCAGACAACAATAACACCCGACAAACACTTACTACTTGACTCTCAACTGTATGAGAGATGTGCATGTGAAGTTTAAAAATCATAGAGTGTTTGGAAGTGTTCCTGTGCATGGGGTCTTTCAGGTACACTTTTTGCAGTGATATGCAGTAAAAGAAGTGAAGTTTTCAAAAATTCCTGTGGTGACATTTTCCAATTTTGGACACACATGGAATATGAGTTTCAATGCGAGGATGTGCATCCCTCTAAATTATGACCCCTGGTAATAATTTCATCTCAAATCAAAATTTTCAAAATTGATAACTAATTTTGTTTCCCCCAGTAATGATTTCCCCCTCTCAATAATCCAATTTTTTCATCAAATTTGGTTTGTTCACTGGAAACATCAGTAGCTCAAACATGGAATCCCCATTTCTGATTCAATATTTCTAACTCTATTCTCTCCAAATAACCTTTCTTTTCAATCTAGTATTTCTCTCTTGCCATGATATATTATTCCTGTTTTTCAAAGCTCTATATTCTAACCATTTATATTATGTTTAATATATTACATACTAACTCATTTTAAACTAATTTCTTTTTTTGTAATATCATTTTCTGATATCCTTTTTTTTATTATTTGGATATCAGGCAAGCAGGTCATCATATATATGGTGCTGTTTTTATCAAGTGCTTTGTCCATGTTGAACTCTGATTCTCTCCTTCTCTGTTGTGCTCATTTATTTTCTCTCTCTTCCTGTTTTTCTGAGTTCCTTCCTCATTACTCTACAAGAGATTGTTGAAGCTAATTTTCCATGTCCTTTGAATTTTCTTCCTCATTTCATTTCTTGCATATCTCCACACAAATTTCTAAGAACAATGTTCTTCCTTTTGTACTCCATCCCTCCTTGTTTCTCCCCAAAGGGCTGTTGCTAAATCTTTTCCTTTTTCTTTGTTTTTCATAGTATTGTTTGGCTTAGTCCACAAGTCATATTTGTTAAAAAAGAGTGCCAATGCAAAAGCCTCATCGCTCACACTACAGAACTTGTTTGACTTGTTCCTGTATACCTTTTTGTTGAACTCTCAATCCTTTGGTCTGATGGCTCCTATAATAAATTTTGTGGTTCCTCTTGCTTGGGGCAGAATCCCAACCTGAGGGTGGCACAAAAAGCCTAATGTACTGGGATAGGTGGAAGTACATGTGATTCTCTATCAGGTTGTTGCTGTCTCCTTTACTGCAGTTGAGGTTTTTGTATACAGTACCAACAAAAAGTACCACCATGTTATCAAGGTTGGTAACATTGGCAGCATCCACTTTCATAACTTCCTCGATGCTGCCAGAATATTTGAGAAATTCTTCTATTCCTAATGTCAATTCAAGCACGTATATATGGCAGTCGATTTCTTCTTCAGTCCTGCAGTGCTTGTTTTCTTGGTTGCCTGAAGTTCTCAATAACTTCAGGACCTGCCTACCTTCAGCAGACAAAAGTGTGAGCATTTGTATGTAGAACATACCCATGTACTGACGGCCCTCCTTCTTTGCTGTGTGAATGGCTTCAGAAAAATTTGTTCAAGGAAAGTTGCAATCAGATTGTCTTTGAACAGTAGCTCTGTAATAGCTAGCAACGCTGCCCATTGAACTGAGTAACCAACCATTCATTCCCAAAAAGTCTTCTTGAAAAGTTTCTTCTGCTCTCTTTGTGCATCCTAGTTGGTGTATGTGAAGCCTCTCTCCGGGGCTGGCAAGATGGATGTTGTTTGAATTTACTCCAAAAATCTAATTTGTAAAAGGGATTACCATATTTTATTTCATGGTGAGAGATGTTTTTGAAATAATTGACAGGACGTGTTTGTGCCCAGGTTCCAGACAAGAAAAGTCATTGGGGGTCCATAGTCTTATAGCACAGGAAGATTGACAGCCTTGCCTTGCCCCTATGTCTAGTAGGGACATAAAACAACGCTCTTCAAGGAGAATGGGCTCCTTCAAAACATTAGCCCTACGACTAATGCCAAGAGGTCTGGGGCAATTGTAGTGACAGCATAGCATTCCAGTATCGGTGGAATGATAATGGCCACAAAGGTTGTTGTGCTGTGGGGTATCACCAATAAAGAATGACACTGTGAATTTCAGTTTGACACTCCAACTCTGTCCATGCCAGGGAATGTTTGACCACTGTATGCCTTCGGACAAGTTATCGTATGCTTGGCCAGCAGATGTATGGTTGTAACCTTGTATTCGTGGCTATCTTTTTCCCGTGTAAAATATGTCAAGGGCGCCGGCTGACATCACGAAATCTTGTCTGAACACACCATTTTTTCTATGGAATTTTTGTCATGATGTCTGTCGGAGTGCTTGAAATATATTCTCAATGAACATATTACCTGATGAAATAACATCCAATGTTGCACCAATACTGATCCTTCATGATGCTGATAGCAGGAAGGCAACTTGTTGTCAATTGTTGGACACAGAGGAGTCCTCACAACCATGTGCTGAAGCTACCATAATTCCACTGAGAGTGCTTCTCGTTCCGACAACTGACATCTTCTTGCCCCCCCTCCACTGACACTAATCAGCATCCTCACTAATAAGCAACACTACATCTCCAGCAAGAGTATCAGCAAGAGTATAATCAACAGTATCATCAACAGTACTCAGCAACAGTACTCAGCAACAGTACTCAGCAACAGTACTCAGCAACAGTACTCAGCAACAGTACTCAGCAACAGTACTCAGCAACANAACAGTACTCAGCAACAGTACTCAGCAACAGTACTCAGCAACAGTACTCAGCAACAGTACTCAGCAACAGTACTCAGCAACAGTACTCAGCAACACTATCAATCCAAGGAAGCTTCCAATGCGTTGACGCTATCAACAACAACAAATTGACGTCTTTCCATCAGCAGCAGTTCTCAGCAGCGACACTCAGCAACAGTATCAGCAACAGTATCAGCAACACTACCAGCAACACCAACACTATCGATCCAAGCAAGCTACCAATGCGTCAACGCTATCAACGACAACAAATTGACATCTTTCCATCAGCAACAGTAATCAGCAGCRACGCTCAGCAACAGTATCAGCAACAGTATCAGCAATATCAGCATTATTGATGCCACTCAACAATATAACCAACCGATGTTCATCAAGAACATCCACAACACAATAACCAGCCTTACGACAACAACCAGCCATCTTTGAGTCCCAATCTGTAGCCTTTGAAGCAGCATTTGAATTAGAATCAGATGTGGAAACTTTGTTTTAGGATGATGAAAGCTCAAGTGATGAGGAGGTTGTTGATGAATCTGAGCCTAATTATGATTCGGAAGCTTCAGGAATGAGTCACGAGGAGGCACCACAAGCAGAGTTCTTCAATGTGATCAGCCAGAGCCAACAAACAGCTTGGAATTGGGACAATGCAATTGAGCCTCATGATACTGAGTTCTTTTATTGGAAAGATGGAACTATTGTTGATAACAGTCTTAACTACCGGAAGGTCCCAGTGGGTTATGAAAAAAGGGATCCAAAGAAGGTTGACAAAGGTGAACCTGAGGACTGGAAAGATGTCAATAATCCTGGTGGGTGGCATCCATATTACTACAGACCCAAGTTTGAAGCAGGTACGGGGAAGTACAGAGGACACTTCCTTCCTTCTGAGTGTCTTCACTTATATCACTAAATGGTTGAAAATTTCACACTGAGGTTTGAAAATAAATCAGTTTCAATCAGATTCTGTATACTTCTTCAAGTAAACAAGTATTTTTTGAGCAGGAGTCATCAGGTCATGTCAGAGCCTATCCATTTATTGCCAGACAATCCTATCTAGATGTATTTGTGCCATGTATGCATTGTATGTCCAATACAGTTCATACACGTATGCTGCCATGATACATATGATATTATCGTATAATATGAAATGATAATATGATATGACATGTGATTGCCCAATATTGCGTCAGAGCTGCCTTTAAGCAACACGTGGCTAACTGCATAGTAAGAAACCACTTAGTCAAAAATCGATGCAAATGGTGTTTGCCTGGGTGCCTAACAACTGCTTGTTACTTGATTATGGGGCAACTGCTGGTGAAAATGCTGATAAAGATGTTCAAAACTTTGCGAGAAGATGCTAGTGAAAAATTATAATTTTAATCCAGGGTCACTGATCTATTTGCTGGCCCTTTCTTTCCTCCCTCTAAACCATAGCTGCCCTGTGTGTGCTGATTGCTACAGAATATTCCAGCTCTTCGTCCACTTCCTCTTCCGCGTTTTCTATTGTTGTTTCGATATCAGCTTCTTTATCATCTAATTGGTCCTTCACATATTGCTTCTGTTTCTCTGCTAGTTGGGCCAGATCAGAATTCAAGAAATCGACCAATTCGAGGAACGGTCCACGAATGGTTGACTCGGCGTCGTCTTCATCGAGCTCACCTTTCTTCATTTGTGCATCTGCTTGTTCTACAAGGCTCTTTGCGAGAGTTCTGGTGTAGAAATTTGGAATGATGTTGGTGTAGTCATCCTTTGATAAGATTCCTGCGTCTAATTGAGACTTGATGTCATTGATCATACCAACTGCGAGCTCACTTGCTCGCTTCGTACCCTCGATAGTACCATCCAAACAAGATGCAAAGGCGGTATTATACGTGATAACATTCGGTTGAACCAATCTTGATTTCATTCGCTTGATCCATTCAATGGCAACATCTGACTTCTTGGGATCCGCTACGCAAGAAGCAATGGCTGTTGTATACGTGACAACAGAAGGTTCAATTCCACCCTGAAGCATACCGATGATGATACCTTCACAAGCCATTGAATTGCCTTGTTTCGCTAGTCGCTTCAGAGCAATATTGAATGTAATAAGGTTACCCTCCGTATCGTGGGTCTCTTTCATTGCATCCAATACCCTCACTGTCAACTCTTCCTCTCCACACACTTCACATGCATTGACTACCGAATTGAACACTCTCAGTGGGGGTTTCTCTGCACGTTCTTGATTGTACAAGTCGATCTGAGTTTCAAAGAAAAGCGCGTTGACATCAGCATCGTCTACGAAGAGTATCTCTTTCACAAAAAACTCATAAGACACAACACAGAACTTACCCAGTCCAACAATAATGCCGTGGCTTTTCTACTCTTTTCTTCTTTAGTACACAAGATGACGACGTTTCTCCAAACGCTTGGTGATGGCGTCAACCCTCTTTCAAGCATCAGTTCCAATAGTTTCACAGCGAGTTTCCAGCTGCCATTTTCGACGGCTTTAAGAATAGCTCGACGATGGATGATTGTACACGCACGCTGAGATGCCGGGGAGAGATTTGCAACTAGAGTATCTCCTCTATCTGGTTCACACCCTTCAGCTTGACTGGCAGCCGTCAAAAAACGTAATCCCAAACCAATATTGTTCATTTTTTCGGCGGCAATGACTCCGGCGGCGAGAATACTTCGGCCGTCAACAGTAGACGCAATGTTGTCCAGTTCGTATCCAGTTGCCTTGACGTATGCCAAGCCTGTCATCAGTTTTTCTGGTTCGTCAGAGCCTTCCACGCATGCTGAAGCAACATCGGCAAAGACCTTCAGTGATGGAGTGTCAGCCTTGTCCACCACAGTCGTTCGAAGCATTTGAAGAGCATGATCGATCGATCCTTCGTTGGCCAACGTGGTAATAAGTTTCTCATATGTGTCCACGAAGATTGGGGTAGGGTTTTCTTCCGATAATTCCACCGCTGCCAACATCGCCAACGCGGTATCAATTCCAGCAAATCCTTCGTGACTACCATCCTTTTCAAACCCTAGACAGTCCTTAATGCATGAGTTTGCAATCTCTGAGGGGACCATGTATCCATGCGAAATCATCTCTTCCATCGCCCGTCGTGCTGGTTCTGCAGCACGAGCTCCGTGAAGTCTACTCTGCATGTAAGCCGTAAGCACTTCCGTAAATACAGATTCAGGGATTTCTCTGGATTCTGGTCCATTCTGTCCGAAACGCTTGATCAATTGTTTGAATCTTCGAGCGGCGGTTTTCCAATGTACCTTCTCCGATAGAGATGAAATTTCTGTTAGCAAATTGTTGAAATCGAAATCTGGATCCGAATTATCTTCGAATGATATTCCCGTATCTTTGAATGCCTGAGAAGAAAAGGGACGGGATGAGAGTCGGGAAAGATGTCAGAAACAAGACTATACTTGAAAAACTCCCGAACAATAAAAGCCATTGCAAGATCCAAACTCACCGTATTCAGAGCATCATTACTGATAACATGCACGTCGTTGCTTCCCTCGGTGTTCTGTTCGCCGTTATTGGCATCATCGGCAAGTTCCATCAGCCTTGTTCGCATGGTTGTAAATGTGCCAGTTGTATCGACCTCTCTGCGTTCCAGTTCCCGTTGGACCTCGCGAAAGCGCAATTTCGAGACAATATCTGCTGTTAAGGCTTCCAACTCAGAATCATCGCCAGCCGTCTTCGCGCTTTCCACTACTTCAGGGGTGGTCGACTGCCTTACAATTTGATCTTGGGCTCTTGCTGTATGGAAGGATCTTGTGCTTGGTTGGAACGCCTCCGTCGGAGCGACCAATGATGCCAAGGCCAATGACAGTACTCCACTCTCGAACTTCATCTTTCTACCACTATTTTGTTCTTTGTGCTGTGGACACTCGTCTAGAAGTTGGCGATATTTGTGTTTTAGTCGCGTTGATAACAATGGCAGCACTGAAGAATTCACTGATTTTTCTTTTTCTGATCGTAATTCGTAGCTTTCTCTCTGTGGCCACATTCACACCCTGTGTCAAGGATACTGATGTAGCAATAGATGATTTGTTAAATAAAAAGGGGTTGTATCATAAGATGATTACGAGAAAGCTTGGGTGACGGAAAGAAATGCATCAGCATCTGGAACAGCGTCTTCCCCTACGCGAGCCCTCACAAAAAAAATTCCTCTGATGTGGTTCCCATAGATGTGGAAACAGGAGACGCTTATCCGTGAGTTTCACGATTGATAAATTGATAAATACCGCTGACGTAATAGATAGAAACGCTATGTTAGTCTCTCTACTCACATTTTTTTGCACCCAAAGGCCTATTTCAGTCTCTTTCGAATAATTTGGGCTGCTGGTGAAAATACAGCAGTTAGTTACTTTGCTATGGTGCAAAAACTCGAAAAGTAGTGTTTACAAAATATTGGCTGGCTATGCAAACACAAGTAATTACTATGGTGCAAAAAACTGAGTGAGTCCAAAGGTGGGGAAATGAAAAAGAATTTAGAGTTTCTAAACTACTAGTAGGAATGAACAGACCACTGCTGGAACAAGTTCTAACTCCTCTTCTTGAAAGCACAACATGAATACAATTTCCTTTTTCACATTGTGTACTAGTAGTAAGCAGACCAAATTGAAATCAACATATTTTCCAAAGATCTTCCCTGTAATATGTGATCAGTTCTTGCATTTGCAATATTCATTGGGAATTCAGTTATATATATTCCCTTGTGACTTGTTTGACTTCGATGTGAAATTTTAGACTCGTGGAGGACAGCATCAAATTTTTCCTTGCGCTGTAGAGCTTTACTGTGAAGTGGTAAGCTTGATCCCTTTCTTCTTGAGCTTCCTTGTTCAGGGACTAGCTCTATCCATTCAACATTGTCAGCATCAACACGTCAAGCAAAATATCCATCAATATTGATAATTTCTTCACAATCCTGGTACCCATTTTTTAGTTTTCCTGACTTGAATGTACACATGGCTCCATTTGCTTTCAATCTCTTGACATCTGTAATCCTTTTGGAAGATTTTGTTCCACCCGCAACAATATTAGCATCTAAAGCAGCAGTCATTAAGAAGTGATATTTCTGAAAATCTGACATGCCTCTTCATTAAGCAGTGATATTTCTGAAAATCTGGCATGCCTCTATATTTTCTTTTCTGTCTATCTGTAGTTTTGGGTTTGAAGCTTTGATTACAATTGTGTGATCTAACAACCTGCAATTTATATTCTTTGAATGTGTTGTTTTTTTGAAACTCAGAAAATATGCCATCATTTATTGCACATTTGTCTGTGTTGCTGTACGCTGCATAATCCATATCTTCAGGAAGTTTGTCCCAAAGTTTTACAATTTTTCTTGAATTTATCATTTGAACATAGCTCTTCTTTCAAACCATTTGTTGTTGTGATTTGTTTTAAGTTCAAGAAATCTGTTTTTATCTCTGGACTCATTTTTGAGTCTTGAGAGCAATTTGGTTTTCTTACATTTTGAAATGACTGATGATGACAATAACTATTTTTTTGAGTCTTGGGAAGAATTAGGTTCTACCAACGACACCAGTACCATTGAGTGAACTTAAGTCTTGGGAATCTTGAAATGAATGCTTCTTCTTTTAAGTTTTTCTGTCTGAACCCCTAATATTTAAAATAATAACCTGTTTTTTGTCAAGGTACTAATTTATTTGCAAAAAATGGGATAATGAAGTTTACATGGATTCAACACAAAAAACAAGTTTCTTTTTGTTTCTTTGGTAAGTCCAGAGCAGTGAGATTTATCAAGGCTACTGACTTCTGTGCAGGAGTTTACATTATACTACTAGTCCAGTGCATTGTAGCAAATTAAAAGAATTTAGAAGCAAATTAACCACTAGTAGTAGCTCTTTCTTGTTGTTGTTTCCAAAATATGAAATGAATTCATTGTTTTGTTGTCTATGTTGCTGGGCATTCTTGTCTACTAGTAGTACTACTAGTAGTATGTTCTTCTTTGTTGTACTAGTACTACTAGCTAGTACTACTAGTACTCCTCCTACTACTAGCTAGCTAGTGCTAGTAGTTCTAGTAGTGCTCCTAGTAAATAGGAGAAGAGGAGGGGGGTTCTTGTTTGTAGTAGTAGTAGTACCACTGGTACAAGAAACAGACCACTACTAAAAGAAGTTCTAACTCTCAATCCAATTGCTCATGTACTATCACTAGTAGTAAGAAAAAGAAACAAAGAAAAATGCACATTTTCTGAAGATCAAATTGGGCATCAGTTAGCAAGTGTATTCCCTTGTCACTTGTTTGATGACAAGTTTTATGTGTAATTTTTTATTCATAGTATTTTTAAGAATTGAAATGAAGCCTTTGCTGTTTCAGTGTTTTGAGCTGTTAATCAAGTGATCACTTTTTTGGAATAACCTTCTTCAAGGACAACCACCTCCATCCATTTTCCCATCTCTGCATCATCTAGTACACCACCACGTTGAACAAAATATCCATCAATGTTGATCATTTCACAATCCTAGTACCCATTTTTAGTTTCATAGACCTGAATGTGCATAAGGTTCAATTTGATTTACTAGATTTTTCAGAATATCATAGAGAGTTGGCTACCAAATCTACAATAGTACAGTTGTAGATTTTGGGCCCTTATTTTTTGTGTAATGACTACTTTTACTAAAAAACTGGTACCTGCTAGTGCAGGTACATCTGCAAATGCTAAAATTTCTTATCCCTCAAGTTGAGTTTTATGTGCACATGCTCAATGGACAATTTTGGCTTGAAACATACAAAAATTGCTTAGTCAAAGTAGTTGTTACACAGAAACAAGATAGCCCAAAATCCACTCGCACTAGGAAAACATGTAGAAAGTAAACTAAGCGTCAACGCACTCTAACAGCTCTCTTGGTCCCCAACAGATGCTTAACAATTATCAGCACATGAATCAAAAGCCAGTAAAAAGAGGAATATGTGCTAGTTGTGTGGGAGAGTAGGGGGTCCTACTAGTAGCAGTGATATTGATTGATATGATAGTACCTCTACAGATATACAGCATTGAAAATGTACAATTTAATTGTCTTTTTGTAATGCGGATGCTATTGTATAGCATTGACGGAGTTAAAAACAGCATACAATCCAGTTGTACATTAGCAATCATGTATACAGCCCCAAATAACTTTGTATGATCAATAACCCCCTATCATATAGCATTGGCGCAGTTCTTCTGGCTGATTTAATTGCAAATTTTTAAATTCAGATATACATACATGTATATCGGTCAATACTTCTCAGATCCCCTACTCCCCCACGGCATTAGAAAGCTCTTTGAATTCTCTTTTTAACCATGTGCTTATCATACTTAAGCGTCCGTTGGGGGAAAAGTTATAGCTATTTGAGTGAGTTGAACCTCTCTTAATGACCTACATGTTTTTTGTACTGTGTATTGATTTTGGGCCATCTAATTACCATGTAATGACTCATGGGATAAAAAATTTCACTTGTACTAGGGCTACAGCATGCACATGCAAACAAAACTATTTTGCACGTGTGCAAGCAAAACTATTTTGGTGGGATTCAAAAATTCAAGAATGAGTTTTTGAATCCCACTGGTACGAGTACTGCGCACATGCATTTTGTACGTTTTAGTCAAAGTAGTCATTACATGCAAAATGAGGGCCCAAAATGTACGACTGTATCGTACATTTGGCAGCCCCCAACACTATACGATAACCCCCCAAATGAATATTTGTCTTTTAACTGGGATTTGATTCATGTGCCTATCATGCTTAAGCATCCATTGGGGATCAAGACACAGCTCAAACTGTCGGTTCAAGACTTCCAGTTACTTCTATCTTTCAGTCTTTTGCCATTTCTTTCTCTAGAGCAGTAGTTGCTCCTTCCAAGCCCAAACCATTCATAGTTGCCATAGTTGCTGTGACAAAACTTCCAGATGGGATCTCCACTAGAATCCCTCTTCTCTGAATGAGCATTGCTGCTACAAAGTGGGACTCCACATAGCTTGCACAAGAAGTAAGTATTACTAGTATGACACATGTAACAAATGTTTCTGCTCCATGACTTGGTAGGTGCTGTTGCTACCAAATGTCTTTTATTCTCAGTCTGAGTGAAGCAAAATCTTCCATTGATCTGGTTCATGGTCTGGAAATTATGATATCCAAGCAACTTACCATTCTTAAGGAAAGTCTTACATGCTTTTCTTCTACTAGTTGCCCTACTGGTTCTTAACCTTTGTGTTGCTTTTGTACACTGCCTCAGTCTACAATCACAGTCATAGGCCTGCTCCACTGGATCAAATCGAATCATCTACAAAGCAAGCCTCTGACAAAACTCACAGTAGCTCATCACATTGGTTGCCTTCCACTCATCACCAAGGCTTCCATCACTGCACTCTTTGTAGATATCGTATGCTGTAGCAATGGCCAAGGCTTTTGCATGATTAATTGCAGCATGGTAGTATTTCCACAATTTGTAACCAATATTGGCTCTGGAGATGTATGCATCAATATGGTCCAGCTTGTCATAAGTATAAAGATAAACCTCAAAAGACGCATTCATTTCAATGCCCCAT